TGCAACAGGTATTATTAATATGGTAGACGTAGCAAAACATTTGTCATTTTTTTTTAAAATGAATGTGGGGAAGTGTAGAAAAGGGAGGATAGGAAAATGGCGGATTATTATTTATATGCATATTGTTTCATTCCTAATAATTATTTCATTAAAAATATAATAATATTTTTTTTCTGCTATAGATCGAAATCGCCATTTTTATTATTATTAATATTATTATTATTATCATCACTATTATTTTCATGTACGTAATTACGAAAAAAAAAAAATTTTAACGGTCGTTTTGTTTTTGTTCTCATAATATCAGTTTGTACTTAAATAACCTTCAAACAATTGGTAAATTTATCATCATTAAAACAAAACCATTTCCGGTTTGACTTTTTCTCTTATTTTTTCCATTCGATTCTAGAAATTTTATTATTTATAATTAATAATAATAATAATAATTAATTATCGTCACTTTGATCAGGTTTTACGGAATGAATTAAAGTAAAAAAAATTTTCCATTTTGAATTTTCTTTTGTTTAAAAATGTCGACGGTTACGATAACAAGTTTGACGACGTGGAAAATATCCGTTATCATAATTATTATTATTATCGATACGTAATCGATAATATCCGCCATGTTTGATTTTATTTAAATGATCGCCATCGTATTTTAAATGAAATTTAATTAGGATTTAAGGGAGAATTTTCTCCTGTCGTTTTTGTTAACGATAAGAATATTTGACATAAGTTAAACATTAATTTTCCACGGGGGCCCCCCTTTTCATAACAATCCTCGCGATTGTTTAATCATCATCATCATCATCATCATCATCATCATTCCTTCTTCTTCTCATTTCATTCTCATTCACAAAAAACATGGAAATTATTTTTTCTGGTAATGTTAATAATAATAAAATAAATCGTTTTTTTATTTAATAAGCATCTGAAATTTATTTTATTGCAATCAAAATTTATTGTACAATTCATACAGTCTCCATATTTGTTTGTTTGTTTGTTTGTTTTTCATCGTCTTTTAACAAAAAAAAAAAAAAAAAAAATTTTTTTCTTCTATTTTACACTCCTTATTTATATTATTATAATAACACATTTCGATGTTTTTTTTTTTCATTTTTTTTTCTTCTTCTCCATTTTTCCAAATTAAACATTAATTAATTAATAGACATACATAAATAAATAAGAAAGAAAAAAAAAGGGAAAATAATAATAATAATAATAATAATAATAATAGCCAGTAAAAAATTTTTCTTAACCGTCGTCGTCGTTTTAACAAAAACTTTAATCACACAAACGCAGACATCAACGTGTGTACGTACGTTTGCACGTGCGTGAGTGTGTGTATGCGTGCGTATTTACACGCACAATAATTTTTGCCTTAAAGCTTGATATACACACGCACACGCACGCACCTACACACGTATCCCAACACACTCTCCTCAGACGAAAAAACCAAAAAAAAATCGATTTCGTTATTTCGTTCGTTCGATCGTTTGTTTGTTTATTTAAATAATTTTTTGTTTGTCTGTCTGTCTGTCTGTTTGTTTGTTTGTCGGTTACACGATACAAATAATTTAAATTTTACGTACAATAATAAAGTTATAAATAAAAAAAAAATTAAGGCACATTTTTTTTTTTTTTTTTGTTTTGTTTTTCCAATTATAAAAACAATTCATAATCGTAATTAATAATACGTACATATATATCGATAATAATAATAATAATAATAATTTTAAAATAATAAACTATTGAAGACTGCGTTTTATTATTATTATTATTATTTAAACAATTTTTTTTATTTTTTTCGTAACAAAAATATTTTATTGTCTTTTTTTTTTTTTATAAATTTTTTTTTCTTCCCTTTTCTTTTTTTTTTTAACGTTTTGACGTCATTAAAAATTTATTATTATTATTATTATTATTATCATCTTTTTTTTATTAAATAATCCTACGTAATAAAAGCTTAAATTAAATTAGTTTAAAAAAAAAAAAATTATGAGCGACTTTAACTTATTTTTTTTTTTTTTATATAAATCGATATTTATTAATTAATTTAATTATTTATTTATTTGAGCTTTTCTCGTTTTTATTTATTTATTTGACTCTTAATAAGGCCTCGTTATTGCTTTTTTAATTATTATTATTATTATTGTCATTAATTTATTTAAAGATAAATTTTTTTTTTTTTCTAATACATAAAAAAAATCAAGTCGTCAATAAAGTCTCATCATCATTATAATCATTATTATTATTGTCTTTTACAACAAATTCTCTTTTTAGGAGATACTTAATATTTAATATAATATATATAATAATAATTATTATTATCATTATTACAATTAAAAAAAAAAAAAGAATTTTATAAAGTAACACGAATCGGTCACGTGACTAGTCTCCCCTAATTAAGTTTTTTTTTTTTTTTCTTTAAATTTTATTAAATTTATTTATTTACTTATTGTCAACTTGCACAATCTCCAAAAAAAAAAAAAAAAATTTACGTAAAAAATTTAAAAAAAAAAAAAACCAAACAAACGGAAAACCCTAAGCCCCCCTCCCCTCCCACTTAAACTTTGTTTGTTTTTCATACAACCGCGACGAAACAAACGACCGATTAAAATTTCCCATAATGGATATTTATTTACCTAATAAGCAAATTTTTTCTTTTTTTTGGGGGGGGGGAGGGAAGTTTTCCGTTTGTTTGTTTGTTTGACACGCGAGAGAATGCAAAAAAAAATTAATAATAATAATAATTTTATTCAAATCATTCATCATCATAAACATTTAAAATTACGCGCGCGAATGCGTTAATACACTTTCGCACACTTACACGCACTTTCTCTTTCTCTCACTCTCTTTCTCCCCCCCCCCACACACACACGCACAATTTTTTTCCCCTTTTTTTTTTTTTAAATTTTGACGTAAACAACCTAAAATAAAATTCCATAACATTCTTATTAATAATAATAATAATAATAATTTAATGTTTATCATCATATACAATTTTCAATTAATATTTTTTTCGTTTCGTTTTTTTTTTCATGTTCTTTTCCGTAAAAAAAAAAATTCTACAAGTTTTTTTTGTTTATAATAAAGATATGTATATAAGTCACAGCTAATAATATTATTAATAATAATAATAATAATGAAAATCGGTCCCTTTAAATATCTCGAAACCGTTACAATTCTTTTTTTTTATGAATTTTTCAAACGAATGAATGAATGAATGAATAAATGAATCAATCGGGAAAAGATTAAATAATCCTTTTATCCCTTTTACTCCCTTCATCTCTCTCTTTCTTTCTGCAACTCCCTACCTCACACTCCCTCCCCTCCCCGTAATAAAGAAAAATGATAATAATTATATGGGAAATTAAATTTTTAAACTTTTTATTTTCGGCAGTCTTAGAACGAATGTCCAGGCACTTTTGGGAAAAAAATTTTTTTGGTTTGCTTGCACGTGCATTTCACTGTCAGGCACGTGAATTTTAAAGAAGGGAGGGTAGGATAGAAGAGGGGAAGTACAAATTATTATTCTCGTTTGTTTTAAATAAGACAAAAAAAAAAAAAAAAATTGGAATGCAAACGTTTTGTTCACTTCAATACAAAGGTTTTTCTTTTGTTTCTCTTTCTTTCTCTCTCTTCATACGATGGTTAAGAGAAAGAGAGAGAGAGAGAGAGAGAAAGATATTATGGTAGAAAAAAAAAGAAACATTTAATAGTTAATAGCAAAAAAAAAAAATTTCTTGGAATGACTGCTTTACAAAACAAAAAAAAAAGGGAATCGTAATAAAACTCGGAACGGAATGATGACAGTTATAAATAAATGCAACAAAAAAACCGAACGAACCTCGTAATCGATCGATCGATTGATCGATCCATCGAACGATCACAATCGATAAATCGAACGATTAGTTATCCACACGCATTCGAACCTCATTTATATTCCCACAGGAATCCATGTAAAAAAAAAAAAAAAAAAAAAAAAAAAAATGTATACGTAACGCTCAATAAAAAAAAAATTATTCTCCAATATGTCTTTTCCCACCCTCCCCCTCCCCCTCCCCCCCCGAAAAAAAACTCAGCTTATCATCATCATTATCATCATTTCTCGACTACACACAACTAGTTAGTGGTAGCCTAATCGTTGACAACAATTCTTTTTTTTTCTTTTTTTTTTTGATAACGAAAAAAAATTAATTAATTAATATTTAATTTGTTATACTAACAAGTTTTTTTTTTCTAGAGATCAATCAATAAATGTTTTTTTTTTTTTTTAATTAATTAATATTTCATTCTTACAAATGAATTTCGCGTATTTTCAAAGAAAAAAAAACCAATCACAAAGCATAATAATAATAATAATAATAAATGAAAAAAAGAAAGAAAGAAAAAGAAAAAGAAAAAAAAGTGGAAGCTACAAAATTTTTTCGTGCTACCGTATCATCATCATCATCATCACCACCATCATCGTAATCTGTGCATTTGCGTACCTGGAACCTGGTTTTCAAGGCCAAAATTAAAACGCGGTCATTTGCCTCGCAAATCACATAAAACCGTGCTGCTGCTGTTGTTTTAATTTCTCAAAAAAAAAAAAAAAAAAAACAGGGAAAACACAAAAAAGAAAATAAAAAAAATAAAATGGCGTCAACGCATTCATTCATCCAAACAAAAAAAAAAAAAAAAGAAAAAATTTAGAGAAACACGTGAAAAAATTTATATAAAAAATATTATTATCATTATCATCATCATGATCGAAAATTTCAGGCACTTTTTTTTTTTAATTGGAAGAGGCAGTTGTTGCAAAAGTTTTTATTTAATTATTTTTTTTTTTTTCTTCTTTTTAGAAACTTTTTTTTTTTTAAAGAAAAAGAAAGTATGAAAAATTCGTAAAAATAAAATTCTAATATATACGAACGCATGCACGCACGCACGCACACACACGTGCGTGTGGGTGTGTGTGCGTGCGTGCGCACGCGTTCACGCGACAGTTGTTTGTTCTAAGCAGACTCCTTTCCTTCCAGCAACCTCTTGCACAAATCTTCAACTAATTCCCGGTATATTAGAGGATCTATGTTGGCACCCAATTGATACAATATGAACCAGTCGCCGATTTGACATTTTCTAGCGATTTGCGCGATTTTGTCGTGAGGAGCCAAACGAGATCGAGCCCGCAAAAGAGTTTGCCGAAGTTGTGGCAACATGACGACGGCGGCTCTGTATATGAGTGACAAACCCGTCAAAACACTTAGTATAACGAACCAGAACCATAGGAAAACGTAAATCTTCTCGTTCACAATGTTCAAGGGTAATATACACAATCCGTCGAACTTTTGCACAGTTCCCGAAGGACCGTATTTGTGAAAGGTGCATTTGGTCACTTTGGGAAACACTCTCGACATCGGATCCGTCCTTTGTTCGGGTTCCATTTCCGTGTATTTGATGACGTCGCTTCCGTACGTCGTGAATTCTCCGTCTAGGAAAAAATCCATGAAATAAATTTGACCCACGACGTTGACGAAATTGAGGACTTCGCAAAGGAAAAAACGGAATGCGTAAAAGTTTTGAGTGTGGAGATTCGTCACAAAATATTCAATCAATAATTTTTTACGATCGTTTTTGTTGTCGTCGGATATTATGGGACAATTCAAATCCGTCACGAGCATTTTTATACGGCCGCCCTCCCACGTTTTCCAAAGGTATCGTGGAACGTAGAACAAAACGGCCTGAAAGAAAAGTACGAAACAAACCCATTGATAGTATTTGTGATATTTAACTTCGTCGACTCCGTCAACGTGACCGGCGACTCCCGGTTGCACGACTTCACTCCCGACTTGTCCCCCCAAACGATTGGGAATCGTAAACGTTGAATATATCCAACAATACGTGTCCATAACGTTTAAAGGAATTTCATCGACGATGCAATCTATGGGATCTCCTATGTATTGACGAGACGTCACAAGGAGTGAAAATGCAATTAACATAATAACGGTCGCTTTATAATGCAATCTGAATATGTTATTGTCTATTCGAACGCTGTCCAATTTCAAGAGTCCCTTAACCGAACCGAATACGTCAAACATTTTGACGGTTTTTTTTTTTTTTTTTAATCACTTACTTTTCAATTTAAAAATAATAATAATAATAATAATAAACAATTATAACGAACGAGAAATAATAACTATTTCGTGTACAAATCAAAACATGACTCGACCGTTTTTTTTTCTTTCTCTTCACTTTACTTTACCTTACTTTAACACCACTATTATTATTATTATTATTCTCTTTCAATGTATTATTACCATAGCGGTTGCTACCTGCGAGTAATTAACAAAATAATAATAAACTCGTATTAAATTGCACTTAACATTTAATTTAACACAAAATTCATGGACGACGACGACGACGACGACGACAAAACAATTTATTTATTTATTTTATTGTTACTTTTGTATTTATTACTTCTGCGTTTTACATAATAATAATAATGCAAAAGTGTAATTTTAACTTCGCACTACTTCCCTCGTTCTTTCACTGTGAGACAGAGACGTACAACGAGAAACGAGTAGACGCTTTCGACGCATGCGCAATTGAAAAATTCTCCTTCGCCGTGTCAATTCTGACGATTCGAATAACGTAAAAAGATTATTAAGAGTTTGTATTTTTTACCGTTCGACGTCGTTTTCTTACGTTTTTTCACAAATGCATCTCTTTTCCCCTCTTTTCTAGTCTCAAACGGGTTCTACTCGAGTTCAACTCGATGTGGTATTCAATGTGTTACTAAGTTTCACAGTTTTTTTTTTTTTTTTTTAACTCGTGTTGAATTTTCTCTTTTTTTTTTTTCTCTCAACAAAATAATGATGATGATGATGAATTCCATAGAAGGTTCTAGAAATTTTACCCTCGTTTTTTTTATAAGAAAAAAAAAAAAAAAGAAAATTATTTAATCGCGATTGTAATGTATAAAATGGCATGAAAGCATGTCAGGGATGGAAACGTAAGAAAACATACGTTCTAGAACGCACACACACCGCCTTCCCGAATTCGATAACTAATAATAATAATAATGATAATTTTGAAAAAACTTTTTCGTTGTCTTTTTCATTCAACGGATAATTAAAATTCAGGTAAATTTTTTCTATGACATTAATTAATTTATTATTATAATTATTATAATTTATTTGTTTAATTTGTTGTTTATTCGAAACGATTTATAAAACGAAAATGATTAATCGTTAAAACAAAAAAATTAATGATAAATAATCAAAAATCAAAGTTTAAATCGGCGACGAAATAAAAATTTCAAGTAGAAAAAACAAAAAACAAAATGGCGGCTTACGTGAATACCGAAAATAACGAATAACGATTTTTATTTAGACATTTTTCAATTGTTTTTTTTTTATAATAGAAACCGTTAAACTTTATTTAAAGTTACGTTATTTAATAAATGATTTTATTAATTAATAATCGTTTTGTTATTAATTGAAAATAAAATTCGCGAGTTTATTTTATATATATGGAAAAATGCTTATTAATAATTAAGAAATTAAAGTTTTTTTTTTTTTTTTGTTTTGTTTCGAATGAAAGTCGGTCAATGTATTATTATTATTATTATTACAAGATAGGTATGGACCAAATTACAAAAAAAAAAATGGAGAAACAACTGTAACTTTTAAATGAAAAATAAAGCAATTAACCTAAACTAGTCGAGTTTGTCCTTGAATTGTCCTCATCATTTATTCTGTTTATTTAAAATGCAGGCAGGCAGGCAAGCAGGCAAGCAAGCTGGCTAACTGTGATGTTAAAAAAAAAAATTTTTTTTTTTTAATTTATTTGTTTAATTTGTTGTTTTTACATTATTATTATTATTATATTGTTATTATTATTATTATTAAAAATATGTATACATAAATCTCTTGATAAATTGAAATTTAAAAACAAAAAAAATTAATAACTACAATTTTAAATCTAAAAGTTATGTATGAACATAAAACAACAACAACAACAACAACAAAAAGTAAATCAAATTATTTATTTAATAAGTTATTTAGTTTATAAATTTGTTAATTGTTGTAAAATTTTATAAAAAATCAACCATTGATTGATTGATTATGTAGTTTTAGGTTGTTTGTTCAATACACTTGACAAAACTTAAGTTTGTCAAATATGTTTTCATAAAAAGTTTGTTGTTTGTTGCTTTAAAAAAAAAAAAACAAAAATTTAAAATTGTTTAAAATTGAATTAATTTACAGATTCAAAAGAAAAAAAAAAAGAAATAAAAAATAATTAAAATTAGGTTAATTAATAAAAAATTTTTAGGTGTTAAAAAAAAAAAATTCACATCCAGTTAAAAATCAAATTAAACATTAATTAATGAAGTTATGAAAGGAAGTTATGAAAGGAAATAAGAAATGAATATTTAAAAAAGATAAAAAATAGTTATGAAAAATAAATTATGAATTTTTTTTTTTTTGTACAATAAAAATCTCTTTTTTATTTAACAAAAAAAAATATAAATAAATTTGTCATCGTTATAATAATGACAAAATATTGTGTCACGCAATGAGAATATAATAATAATAATAATAATAATAATACTAGACAATAGTTTTTGTGTGATTCACTTAAATTCAAAAAGTAATAATAATAATAATAATAAAACGTACATAATAATAATTATGTTTCGCATAAAAAAGAGAAAAAAAAATGGGGAAAAAAAAAAAAAATTTAAACTACATTTGAATGTTATTTTATTTTATTTTATTTTAAGCATACAAAATGGCGGATCAGAATAAAAAATTATTATTATTATTATTTTATTTTTAAAGGTTTTTACATTGATTAATTTTAATATATATATGTAAATATTTTTTTCGTTAGTTTTTCCGAAGAAAATTTAATGAAGACAAAAAGAAATTAGCAATTATAGGGGAAATTTTTTTGGGGGAATGGGAAGAGGGAGGGGAGGAAGGGATTTTAAATGGTCGTCTCAGAAAGAGAGAATATTTAAAAAAAGAAAAAATTATCCGGTGTAATTTTGATTTAGCATGATATATATATGTACGTACGTGAACGAATTTTTTTTTTTTTTTTTGAAATAATAAAAGGATTTTTATAAAATTATGTTCCAACCCATTTATAAATTAAAAAATAAAAGGAATGAAAATGATGGGTTCTCACGGTTACTTATTATTTAAAATATTTTATTCGAAAAAAATAAAAAATAAAAATGGTGGACTAATGGCTTTAACGATAATAAAAAAAAAATTTTTTTTTAATTTAAATAAATTGTCGTCGTTTGGGTAATAAAAACGCGTTTATTCCCATCCGGATCCCACAGCCCGGATAGCTCAGTCGGTAGAGCATTAGGCTTTTAACCTAAGGGTCCAGGGTTCGAGTCCCTGTTCGGGCGTAAATTTTTTTTTTTTTTTTTCCATTTTTTTCCTTTGTTTTCCTTTTCCTTTTTTTTTTTTTATTTAAAATAATCAACCAATGACGTTATTAGAAAATGGCGATGCTTAGATTTGCAAAAAAAAAATAATCATAAAAAGGATATGAAATTTTTTTTTTTTACTTTTTGTGATTCATTTTCAACGGTTTAACAACCTTAAATTTTTCCTCGCCCCCCATATTTGTTATTAATTTTTAAGTTATATATTAGGTAACGAAAAAATGTTTTTTTTTTTTTTTTATTTCAGGCACAATCGAGCTTATATTTGTAATTTGATACACCACCCAAGTTGTCGAATTATTATCAGGGGTACCAACAGACAAATGGATGGATATTATTGACAGGTAATGAATTTTACATTATTTAAATTTTTTTTTTTTTCACCCTTTTTTTTGCCAAAAAAGGTTATATATATAATTTCATAAGTATTTGAATTACATTCGAAATTTATTATTATTATTATTATTATTATTTATCGGATTAATTTCAAATGCTTACAAATCAAAACAAAAAAAAAAAAATTCAAAAAAAAACAAAACAAAATGGCGAACTCGATGAATGAATAACAAAAAAAAAAAAGTTTTTATTTTTTTTGTGTTTAATTATTATTATTATTATTAAACCGAGACTTTATTTCTTTAAATTATTAAAACAAAATATCGTGTGCAAATTATTATTATTATTATTATTATACTTATACGCATTATTTCGTATCGTTTTTCATAATTTAATATTTTTATTACGTTCATATTTCAAGTATTTTTTTTTTTTTTTAAAAAAAATTACACCGCATGATTCGGTTCGTTCATGTTGAAAATATGCATATGCGTGCATACGTGCGTGCGTGCGTGCGTACGTGCGTTCTTCTTGCTCTCATGTTTTGTTTACGAAGAAATTTTTTATTGAGGAAAAAATAACCATTTAACCTTTTTGTATGTTACGAGTTGAGAATATGAAAAGAAAAAAAAATGTCTTCGTCTTACAGCAAGTTAAAACCGGCGTAAAAACAATTATAAATTATTATTATTATTCGTGTTATACGCACACACGCACGCAGGCACGCACAAACACGTGAAAAATTTTCACTTTTTTTGTTTTGCTTGTTTCGTTATTATTATTATTATTGAGGATGAGGAGGGAAAGGAGGGAAAAGGTGTGATGTCTCTTGGTACTTAATGTGATGGTACCGATAAGTACTTTAAATTTGGCGAGGGGGGGGGGCAGGGGAGCACGTCATGAAAATTTTTATTTTCGAAAAGGATGATTGATGAAGGACGAGAAAGAGAAAATTAATGTGGAAGAAGAAGAAAGAGGGAAAAAATGGAAAAGGATAAAACGTGTTTGTTGTTTCCCAAATATTTTTGTGGTTGTTGTTGTTGGTTGGTTGTTAATCGGTAATAAGGTAGTAGTAGTAGTAGTAGTAGCAAAAGTAGTCAAATGCGAGCGAGAAAAGGAAAACTACTGTACATTCCTCTTGAGCCAATAACCGGAGTTGTTGAGGTCACGAAAAGGTCAATATAATGACCTCAACACGATTCTATCCGATTCTCAAAGGGATAAGAATTTTTTTTTCTTTTTTTCAAAACGAAATTATTTAAATTTTCTCTCTCTCTCTCTCTCTCTCTCTCAATTTTTAACCTAAATCGTTGTTTGTAAATTTTTTTGCCAAATCGGGGATTCCCTTTTTCTTTTGTTTTGTTTTGTTTTGATTTTTTTCCCCTTTTTTATTGGTTTTTATCGGGATCCATGTCGTCGTCACCATCATTTTATTTTTTTTTATTTTTTATTGAATGATTAAATTATCCAAAAATGTTTTCCTTTGTGCTTCTCTCTCTCTCATTTTGGTGACATTTTTTTTTCTCAAGGATCGATTACAGATCGAAATTAGTTTAAAATAAAGTGAAAAAAGCAGAAGAAAAAAAGATTTTCATTCATTACAGGTGAGCTTCCAAAGGAGTCTCGTTTGATTGAGTATTAAAATAGATGATGGTAATAGCAAGCAGGCTTGACTCTAAGAATTGATCACGAATTGTTCAGCCATTCTTTGTTCAGCCCCTTCCCCCTCTCCCCACTAACCTCCCCCACCCCCTTACATATTTTCGTCTTGTACAAAAACCTATTAAACGTGTAAGAAAATAATAAAAAGGAAAGATTTTTTATTATTTTCTTACGTAATTGAGAATTCTTTTCTTTTTTTTTTTTTCTGGTGTTCATTGGCGTACCTGGGAAAACGTTCTTTCTCTATTATTATTATTATTATTATGACTGTTAGAGGGTGAATATTTTTTTTTTTTTGTTGTCCTCATGCTGCCATCATCTCTTTTTCTTTGATACGATTGGAATTCAGTCCATTTAAATTTTAAACCGATATATATTTTAAACACGTGACTTTTGTATAAGAAAGAGAGAGATAGAGAGGGAGGGGGAGAGAGTGAGAGTGAGAGAGAGGGGAAGAACAAAAATTATTTTTTTACTCGTTTAAGTTTTGTTGTAGGTTTTTTTTTCTATTTCTTTTTATAATTTCAAACTCGTTTTTTATTTTATTTTTTTATTACTTCATTACATTTGCATTTAATTTTGATTTCGTTTCATGAAAAAAAAAAAATTTTTTTTTTTTTTTTTATTACCATAATTATTATTACCGAATAATAATTATAGAAAACAATTTTTGTAGAAATATTCAACTCGGATATACGTAATTTTCATGCTCGTGTAATTAATTTGATTTTTTTTTTTTTTTTTTTTATGTAATTTGACTGGTTTTCCACGGTTTAAATTTTTTTTAAAAATTCCTTTGTTATGTATATTCTTTGTCTATAAGAGAAAAAAAAAAATTAAACGGTTAGTGTTTGTTTGTATCTCGCATTTAAAACTACTAAGAAAGGAAAAAAAAAAAATTTTTCTCCGGTACCGGGAATCGAACCCGAGCCTCCTGGGTGAGAGCCAGGTATCCTAGCCACTAGACCATACCGGATTCGTGGAGTGCGGCACGAAATTTCGTATTTAAGAAAAAATTTATTTTTTTTCTTTCTACACGATTGATAATTTTACTTATTAAGTTAATTACTCAATTAATTAAGATGCCGACGTTAAAAACCTTTCTCTCTCTCTCTCTCACAATAAAAAAAAAATGATATCTCATCGTTTTTTTTCCCTTGTTTTAAATTCTAAACAATTTAATTTTAAAAAACAAAGTGGAATTTATATTAATCCACCTGTCGGCCGGTTTTAAAACTAAATGAACGATTTAAGTTATAAAATTAAACACTAGATGTCGCGATTGCTGAAAAATTTTTTTAAAATTAAAACTCATTGAGAATTTTACAACCCTTAACGACAACAACAACAACAACAACAACAACAACGTCCATTTATAAAATAAAAACAAACCACGTGAAAAACAAATTATTTATGCATTTTATTATTATTATTATTATTATTATAAGTACACGTGGTGGTAAATATAAAGAAAAAAAAGGAACAGAGAAGAAGTAAAAAAAAAAAAAAAATAAAAAATTATTAATAACAAATAAATTAATAATATTTTTTTTTAATTTTTTTTTTTTAAATTTATTTAATTATAATTTTTTTATTTTAATTGGCTACCCGTGGAAATTTTTTTTTGTTTTTCTTGTGCTACGGCACTTTTTTTTTTTTTTTTTGTCCCTAAAAAAAAAATTTTCTTTTTTTTTTTTTTTTTAAATTTTTTTTTTTAACTCGAAAAATAATTTTTTATTATTTTTTTTTACACTTATATATATATATTAATTATTTATTTATTTATTTATTCGTTTTTAATATCAAATAATTATCATCATCATCATCGATCACATTTTTTTTTCTTTTCTTTTTTGTTTTGTTTTGTTTTTTTTTTTTTTCCTCAAGTCCATCATTTTATGCGTTTAATTTGATATTTTTTTTGTGCCGGAAAAAAAAAGAAAGAAGGAAAAGGAGAATGAGGGGGAGGAGGAGGAGGGGAAAGAGACGTGTGGGAGGAGATCGGGTGGGATTTCCGCCGAAAGGGGGGAGGGACCCTTGTCGTACGTTGAGATATCACGTAAAATTTTACGTAGAACAAACGTTTTATAATTGACAAACGAACAAACTGGAAATCCTCGACACCGTTGGAGAAGGCCGGACCACCACCGCCTTGTTGATGAAGAATGCCAAATGCGAAACGCTAAGAAATTTATGATCTCTCCCAAGAAGAACAACTACTATTGATTTTATCACCTTCGTAGACTAAGACTGCTCCCGTTAATGATCCACTTTGGTCACAACCGGGTTTGGAAGGTGAGATTGGCCGATCGAGAGTTCGAATCCTAAGCTTGTGGCTGCGCTGACGTTGGTAAAAATTTCACAAAAGGGGTACCAGGCGCTAGTACCTACAGTTACTTCGATGATGCCTAATATTTACGTAAAGGTGCTTTGATGCAAAACACGATGCGTGAAGTCGAAACGGACAAATCAATGTGATCAAGGGCCATGACATTCACGTACCGGTAAGAGACTGGTGTTGACCACAGGATGACCGTGAAGAAGGAATAATAAGAGTGGTCGTTCTGGAACGATTGACACACGGGCGAACGAATTTAGAAGAAGAACGAGAAGTAACCGTTTATGTATGCCAGGAAGATGTCCTGGTTTTAAGAAGAGAATGATGCCAGAAATGATCCTCTTCCTCCTCCTCCTCCAAAGAAGAAGTTGAAAAGTGATGGCGTACTCCAACAACACGGAGACTAGAGAATGGAGAATGTTTTAAGGAGGGGGGGCGGGATGCATTACACGTTCAGCAGAGTCCCACACTCTCCCTGTGGAAAAGGAGTTTCATCAAAAAAAAAAAGGATAAAAGAGAGAGAGAGAGAGAGAGAGAGAGAGAGAGAGAGAGAGAGATGGAGAACTATCGAGGAAAAAAATCATTCAAAACAAAAAAGAAAAAAAAAAAAGAAAAAAAGAAAAAAAAAAGAAAAAAAAAAAAAAACAAAGAAAAGAAGCCATCGTTAAAGACCCTGTTGAATTTGTGCTCTTGAATTTGTCAACCTGTGGGTAACTTGAGAATCGTTCAACAATTCAACATCCTTAACCAAATTAGTCAACGGATTTGAATTATCCGATCGAACCTGAAAAGAAAGGAAAGAGAAAAAAATACAAAAAAAAATTTTCAATGAACGTTTTTAACGGCGCCATTGTTTGTTGCAACCGTAACAACAAAAACTTACGGAACAAAACTTTTTGTTTTCGTTACAGTCGTATTTTTCTGTTTCAACTTTAGCAAAAACTTGTTTGTTAAGCTCTTTGTACTTTTGAGACATAACATTATAAGTTTTATCGATGAGTTCGTCGATATTTTCTCTCGTGTATTTATTCGTTGGTATCGGCGGTAAAATTTCGATTTGGGTATAACCTGAAACGATCACACTTTAAACGCAGACGAAAACAAAAGAAAAAAAAAAAATCGATTTATATCGATTTATAATTTACCGGAATCGAATTTTTTATTTTTATAATCGATATAATAATATTTTGATACGACGACGGGTTGTATGGGAACTCCGGATGCTATCGCAACGTGGAAAGCTCCTTTTTTAAACGGTAACAATTCATCTTCTCCGTGACGTGTTCCCTCGGGAAACATGCAAAGTTTCGCCTGACGCGGGGGAAACAAACAAACAAACAAACAAACAAAAAGTTATTATTAATTATGATATATTATCATCCGCGTCACTGCCCCAACAATTGACAATTTCATTACCTTTCTCATCTGAACAATTTTTCCCGTTTTGTTAATTGTATCTTTGGCTTTGTCGGGATTTAATCGATCAATGAAAATTGTGCCCCACAGATATGATGCCAGACCGAAAGGTCCCAAGTAAAAAATTTCTTTTTTTGATATAACTGTACAATGGTCCATGATAGGCCAAAGCTCGGCCAAAACTAAAAAGAAAAAAGAAAACAAAAAAATTTTTTACAAATTTTTATCTTTTAATTTTTTTCTATATATAAACGACGGCATTTACCAATAAGATCAATTATGCTTTGGTGATTTATTAGGACCACGGCTCCAGAATCTTGCACGATGTTTTCGTGTCCTTTTATTTTCCATTTAAAACCGAACAAACGTTTAATTAAACGCAATCCCGCAGCTGGAATCCTGTTTACATAAAAAAAAAAAAATTTAATTTAATTTAAATTTAATCTATTACTAATAATAATAATAATAATAATAATAATAATAATAATAATAATGAAAATGGTGAACTCACAATGCATTTTTCCAATTTCTAGGTCGAAAAAACATGATCGGTAGGAAAAATGTTGCAAAAAATGCGGAATGCAAACTGAAATAAGTGAATTTCGCATAGTAACGGAATGTGCTGCTCCTCCTGTACTGTATGTTAAATATCAAAGCTCCGATAATGAGCGGCAAATAATATCCGTCGAACAAATTCGAAAATATGCACATAGTGTCATGGAGAAACCTTAAATCTGTAACAAACGAACAAATGAAGGAAAAAAGGTGAGCAATTTTTTATAAATGTACTTTGACAACGTGCGTGCGTGCGTGCGTGCGTGCGTGTGCGTGTGTGTGTGTGCAAGGAAACAAACAGGGAGACAAACACGTTCGCAGACACTCACAGACACACACAAGTGCGTAAGTGTTAACAAAAAAGTTTGTTCAAAGTCCAAAGGTAAATAATAAGTTTTGGTCGAAATACTACTTAATTAAAAAATTATCAGGTTAAAGTGTTGGATTATATCAAGAAGGATAATAATAATAATAATAATAATAATGATCATTCGTATCACCTTACGACCGAAGGCGGGGAGCGGGGGGCAGAGAAAGAGGGGACTTTGGCATTGTAGATATAATTATTATATCACGGTGTTTTGGTAAATGACGTCATCAAGGTTGTATTCATCACTTATTTCAAGGCGATGTACGTATTATTACGCATTGTTTAATTTTTCGTGAACATCATCATCATCATCGTCATCGTCATCATCATTTTTACCTTCGTAAAAAGTTTTTTTTTTTTTTTTGTCAAAACGTGGACTGAATGTTTAAAATGAAAGAATCATAAACAATTTTTTTTTTTTTTTTTTTTTTACGTTTTCAAAAAACATAATCGTATACAAACGATCGTCAACGTAACGCTTTGTAATTCAAAAATGACGATCGTTAAAAAAATGAATAAAATAATAATGATGATGATGATGATGATGATGATGATGATGACGATGGCGATTATTAAGCTATTATTGATTTTATTAACGGAATTCGTCGGAAATGAGAAAAAAAAAAAAGAAAAGGCGTTACAACTTTTTGTTTCTCTGAAAAGAAAATAGAAGTAATAGTAATAATAATAATAAATAACATTAGGCTGTTAAATAATAAAAATTTTAACGCGATTCCCCGTTCGCGCGAACGAACGCCCGCACACGCACGCACACACGCACTCAAACTTGGACAAGGACGAAAAAATGTCAAACGCGATTCAAATATATTTACAAATCGTCGATTTAAAAATAAAAAAAAAATTGTAGACAACAATTGGGTGAAATTAACATAATTATTATTATTACTATCATTATCATCATTATTATTTTGCGGTTGACTGCAACAGGCCGAATTATAATTATTTCGTTGGGGGGGAGGGGAGGGGAAGAAAAAAAATTCGAATTAATTTTTTTTTTTTTTTGATAATTGTAACGGAACTAATTAATTATTAATGACATAGAAAAATCTAGAAAATGAGACAGAGAGAGACAGATGGAAAGACAGACAAAGAGAAAGAGAGAGAGAGAGAGAGAGAGATATGGTAAAAAAACAAAGGTGTAATGAATTAATAATTCTTATTACGATTATTTTATTATTAGAGCAGGAAAAATGAGAGAGAGAGAGAGAGAGGGGGGGGAGAAAAAGGAGGGAAATTTAAAATGTAAAAGTTTAGTCGACAATTTCATAAAACTTTTCAAAAAAAAAATAATAATAATAATAAGGATTGAAAACATTATGAATAATAAGAGTTTGAATTTTACATTAACAAGGTGGTGGTGGTGGTGTCACATTGAATAATTCCAGGTACTCGAATATATTCAAGGATCTCATTACTTATCCTATCTATCGGTTTTTTTTTTTTTTTTAACGGTTGGTATTATTTTATAATGATAATGATAATAATAATAAGTCGTTCACGAGTAAAAAAAAAAAAAAAAAACTTTTCTCTCTTTCTTTTTATTATTTACGTATAATAATAATAATAATAATAATAATAATAATAATAATAATAATTTTCATTTTTGATTCAAAACACGAATTCGTTATAATCATCATCATCATTATCATCATTATTATTTTTAACTTTTTTTTTTCATTATGATGTTTCATTATCGATTAGGATCGTAGATGAAAAAACATTTTTTTCCCATATGCAAGAGGACAAAAAGGGACGAAAGGGGGGGGGAAAGAAAAGAAAATTTAACCTATTTTTCTAATGACATTTAACTCTCTCTCCCTTTCTCTCTCTCTCTCTCTCTCTCTCTCTCTCACCATCACGTAAATCGTCCTTTCTTCGAGTCTTGAATGTTTTTCGAAAATATTATTATTATTATTATTATTATTATTATTATTATTTAAAAAATTTAAAACCGTTAAATGCGAAAACACGTTTAAAAACATTTTATACAAACAAACAAACGAACAAAAAATGACGTGAGAGTGAAAAATATGAATAAAAATAAATAAAAAAAAAAATAATAATAATAATAATGATGATGATGATGATGATGAAAAGAATTATAAGATGATTTTTAATAATTCTTGTTTTAAAAAAAAAAAATATATATGTATGTACATAATGATGATGATAATAATAATTATTGATTTATCGATTTTTTTTTTTTTTCAATGGCGTAAAAATTATTTATTAGAGTTATTTATAGAAATGAACGAGAAAGAGAGAGAGAGAGAGAGAGAGAGAGAGAGAGAGAGAGAGAGAGAGAGAAAGAGAGAGAAAATGAAGGAGAATGATAATAATAATAATAAAAGAATGAAAAACCGTTGAATAATGAATTGAATAAATTTTAAAAAGAGAAAAACACGGGGAGAGAGAGAGAGGGGGGGAGGGGTGTAAAAATAACAAACTTATTTAAAAAAAGATGGAAAGAGAGACAGAAAGAGAAAGAGAGAGAGAGAGAGAGAGAGAGAGAGAGAGAGAGAGAGAGAGAGAGAGAAAAATAACGTTTATTATTACAAAGCCTGAAAAATAAAATAAAAAAATGAGTACAATAACCTTTGAAAAATTTATTTTTGCTGATTGTTATTGGAATTTTAAATAATAATAATAATAATGATGATGATGATGATAATGATAATAATAATAACAATCAATATAAAAAAAAAAAAATTCATATAAGAATTTATGTAATTTTTTAAAGATTATTAACGAATGTGAAAAGTTAATATTTGTGAATTGTATCGAGAGAGAGAAAAAAAAAAAAGATTTGAAAATGTTTAATCAATGAAAGGAGAGCAAGAGAGAAAGAAAGAGAGAGAGAGAGAGAAAACCAATCAATTTGTAAAATATTTTCATAACAATTCATTCTATAACCAAACATGATAACGAAAAAAAAATTAAAGAAAAGAAAATGTTACATATTTTTTTTTATTACTACTTAAAAGAGTGTGATAAGGGAAAACGATTGAATGAAATTAACAAACAAACAAACAAACAAACAAATAGGATGATGATTGCATTAATCACAAAACAAGAGACTATGACAAAAAATTCACAAATCATACAATTGGGAATAAAATGAATTTGATGATGATGATGACAATGATGATGATTATTCTTTAAATTCATGTCGAAAGAAAAGTTGAAAGCAATGTGTTATGAAAAAAAAAAATTAATTAATTAATTAAATGATCATTCATTCTCATTATAAAAATAATATCTGATGCCATGATGGTAGATTTGTTAACTCAGGTCAGTTTTTAAATTATCACTCGAGGAAAAGTTTTAAAATAATAATAATAATAATATGTGCAGAAATAAAAAATTTGGCAATCGAATGTATTCTCAATGTCAAGTCGAATCTCACACACACACACACACACACTAAACATTAAATTAAAAGATGACAATTTTATTATTATTATTATTATTATTATTATTATTATTATTATTATTATTATTATTATTATTGTTATTATTATTATTATTAATATGATCACAATTAATTTTTCATAAAAATTTCGATCCAATAAAAATTAAAATAAAAAATGAATATACAAAATTTATTTTTTTGAAATTAATAACTGTGATTATGGAATCGAATATTTCGAAAACAAATTATTTAAATAAAATTTAACATTAAAATTAAATAATAATAATGATAATATATAATATATAATATATAATAATAATAATAATAAATTTGTATGAATTTCAAAAATGTGTAAATAAAATTCATGAGTATAAAATTTATAATTACCTTTTTATTCTTCGATTAAATTATTTTTATATATTGAAGTATTGAATTAATAAAAATCTATTACGTATAAAATGACAACGGTTAATAGTAATAATAATAATAATAATAATTATTAATAATTTTTTTTTTTTTTTTTTAAATCCAAAACATTTCCCACACGAAAACCCATAAGATAAAAATTAATAAAAAAAAAAATAAGAATAAGACAAAAAAAAAATTAAATTATTAAAAGAAAAATAATAATAATAATAATGAATAAATAGAACTGTAAACACGGTAATAAAACAACGAACAAAAAAAAAAAAAAAAAAAAAAAACGAAAAACGCGAATATATTCAAACGATAATTTATTATTATTATTTTAATTTAAATAAAAAAAAAAAAACGTTTTCAATTCAAATTATTTTTTAATCAAACAAACAAACGAACAAACGGACACAAATTATTAAAAATAATATTAATAATCATAATTTTTATATAATAATATAAAGTTCACATTAAATTCGTTATATATTCTTACCATGACTGAATTCACTATATTATTATTATTGTTATTTCTCAAATCGAAGATAAAAGTACAAACCATAGACGTTAATAACGAAAAATGTTTGTAAATACGTAACCGACTAAACCGGAAATGGATTCGTACGTTATTTCGTTCGTTCGTTTGTTTTTGCTTCTTCTCGTGTTTGATTGAAATTTATTTAATTACGTTTTGAATGGAATTTATAAATAAAATATGAATAAAACGAAAAAAGGAAATGAGAATTAAAGGTAATAATGATTATATTAAATAATTATCGCGAAGATAAATTAACGAGAAAAAAAAAATGTTTTCAACGATCGATTGGTGTATATTTTTAACGTATTTACGCGAGTAAATTTTGGTCGTTGGGTTTTTTTTTAAATAATAATTTTTACACGAATCGAATGCAATTAAGTAATTAAAATCATTCGTTTTGATACTTTTTCGAAATAAGGACGGAAGAGAAAGCTAATTAATGTCGTAAATGGAAAAATTTGACATAATTTACGAGTTTTTACGTGTAATTAAATAGGTAATAAGACGTTTAACGGTTTTAATAAGTACACGAGCGACTAAAAATTCTTAAGATTTCTGATTAGTACGAATAATAATGATAATAATCACTTAAATTTGTCTCTCCCCTCCCCTTTCAAATTTTCAAACGATGTAATAATAATAATAATGAGTATAAGGATAAGGAATTAAATTGATGACGTATGTGTTCAAAATTAATTTACACAAATTAATTAATTAATGGATTCCATAGAATGTTAAGAAAAATTAATTTTACAATTTAATCAATCAATTTATTTATTAAAATTAATTGGGAAAAAAAAATCGTTTAATATACATAAAAATTGCAATTTTTGATTAAAAAAAAAAAAAAAAAAAATTATGTGTGTGCACAAAAAAAAAAAAAAAAAAAAACACGAGATATTGTTTATTATTGAGTAACGGTAATCAAAAGTTCATGGCAACGGAATGATGATAAGCGTTATCATTATAAAAAGTTAATAACTTAATAATAAATATGGATAATATTTTTTTTTTTTTTTTTTTTGCAATGAATGAAATGTAAAAATTACATACATGTATCGATACATAATATCTTGTTTTGAAATTAATAACCGTTGGAAAAAATTAATAATAATAATAATAATGGTGATGATAATATCAATAAAAAGCATTTTAAGTACATTAAATACTTATAAACAAAAAAAAAAAAAAAAAAAAAAAAAAAAGTTACAAATAATTGATTTGAAAACAAATAAATATCAATTGATAACACGTACGCACACGCACGCACGCACACACACACACGCATAGTTAAACACCTTTGAGCTTTAATTATATAGAGAGTCATGAGTCAAATATTGATAACTTTAAATTATGTTTTTTTTTTTTTTTCTTTTTGTTAATGATGAACAATTCTAAACAAAATTTTATAAAACGTTACTGATAATAATAATGGTAATAATGATAATAATAAAAAATAATAATAATGACATTTAATAAAAAAATCCATCCCAACAGGGGAAAAGAAAAAAAAAAAAAAAATAATGGGTACGTGAGTATGAAAAAAATCGATCAAAACAATGTATAAAAAAATTAAATTTAAAAAAAAAATTACGTATTGATAATAATACTAATAATAATGATGATTTAATTGCGAAATAATAATAATTGTCGATTGTTTAAAAAATTTTTAATATTTTTTTTGAATATTATATATAAGTCACGTAATTTATTTAATCGATCGATAATGACGAGCAAAGAGATTAATTAATTAATTAATTAATATAATATTAATTATAATTACTAATATTAATTAATTAATTAATTAACGCGAGAAATTTTAATTTAAGCAAGATATATATATAAATATATATATATATTTGAATATATACGTGTAATTATAAATAATTTTCTTTTCAAAAAAAAGATAAAAAAAAGGGGGGGGGGAAAATCTCATCGCCCCCCGCGCCCTTACGTTTCTCTCTCTCTCTTTTTACCTGTTTAAAAAAGGCTGACAAGCTCAAAAAAAAAAAAAAAAAAAAAAAAAAAAAAAACGTGTCAACGAATCGGCACGCACGCACACGCACACGCACACACGCACAAAATTACAATTAATGCGTTTTACATAAAAAAATTCTAAAATTAAAAAAAAAAAAAAAAATTTTTTTACATTAAACGAGTATAAATAATTTTCTTTGGTTTTTAGTATTATTACTATTATTATTATTATTATTATGTATATACTGAAATATCGTACGTCGTCAAACGCATACTATTATTATTAATATTATTATCATTTGTTTTTCTCTTTGGCAATAATAATAATAATTAATATTATTTTGTAAACGACTAGAATAGAAATTTTTTAACGGACTAGACAGGGAGGGAGGGAGAGAGGGGGAGGGGAAATAAAAAATAAAATGATGCATTTTAAGCACGCGAATACTGTAAAAAAAAAAAAAAAAAAAAACTAAAAGAAAACCTTTTCATACTCTTTGACCCCTTGACCCCTGACCCTCCCATTCTCCCACCCCTTCCCTCCCATGTTTTTTTTTTTTTTTTTTTTTTACCCTTTTCCATTTTGTTTTATTCCGTCCTCATCTTTTGCATTGATGAACGCATTTTATGATTTTCCGGTAGGGAACAAACAACTTCGTCGAATAATTCTTCGAAAGCTTTCGTCATGGCGTTTCTCGCTTTTTCCATTAGATCCCCGATGTCTTTTTCCGTGAGATCCGTCGTCGATATTGGGGGTAATGCTTTCACTATGACTTTTCCTTTAATTCGAATTTAAATATTATTATTATCATCATGATGAAGACACTCGTTTGAGGGTACTTACCCGTTTTAAAATATTTATCATCGGAATCAATGAAATAATAAGGGGAGAAAACAACGGGTAAAATGGGTATCTGACATAAAATGGCTAATTTAAAAGCTCCTTTTTTAAATGGTAACAAAGTTTTCGTTTTATTGACTTTTATATTTCTCGTACCTTCGGGAAAAAAAAACAATTTGGTCTGAAACAGAAAAGTTGTGTGGAAAAAATGATTATTTCAATCGAGAATGTTTCTTTTTTTTTTTATACACCATCAATTATTTATCTCACCTCATCTTCTTTTGTTAATTTAGCCGATTCTTTTAATATGTCGTAAGATTTCGAAGCGTTATTACGATCTATGAAAACAACACCGGCAAGCCAAGCGCACAATCCAAAAGGCCAAAAATAAAATAATTCTTTTTTTGCTATAGCCGTTACTTTTCCCATGATTCTCCAAAATTGAAACATTCCTATGTAACAAAATTGATGGAGAAAATTTCTTTCGATTTGTTTTTTTTATTGATATCGAATGAAAACAAATTAATATAATACCTAACAAATCCAATGAAGATTGATGGTTTGCAATGACAATGGCACCATCTTTAATTATATGTTCCATACCTCTCAATTCCCATTTGATTCCAAAAAGTTTGCCAATGTTTTTAAGAGCATCAGCTGCGTACCTGTAAAAAATTTTTGTTTTTTTAATGAATGAATGAAACGATTTAATCGAATTTTACAATATAAAAAGTGGCGACAACTCACCAACAATTTTTAACATTTTTCGCATTGAAACAAAAAACAAAACTAAAACCTATTGCAGATAATGATACTAGAAAATAATAAAAGAAAAATTTCCCATGATAAGTAACAGCTTGCCTTCCTCCATCGTATAAAAAAGGAAGGATCAATATAAAAACAATCAATGCATAAAATCCATAATTCCATAATTGCGATAAATCTAAAAAAGCCATGTTTATCTGAAAACAATTGTAAAATTTTTTTTTTTTTTTTTAAAACAAATTGCAGCAATTAATAATAATGTAAAATAATATTACCTTTTAAAATTTATATTAAAAAAAAAAGTTAATTTAAATACATAATCCTAAAAAAAATAGAAACTGTGTATGATGACAATGGAATTAATATCACTACTAAATAAATAAAACAAAACTCGATAAAATGATTAAAAAGAAAAAAAAAACCAATCAATTCCTCTTCACTAATAAAAATGGCATTTACCAATACACTAATACAAATAATAATAATAAATAATCTGTTTACATTGAAAGTAATATATTTATGTATATAAATAATAAAGATAAATCTTTTCATCGATTAAAATTAATTTCTATCAAAGTTACGATAAAACGATTATTTAAATTATTCGATTTAAACTATTCAGTTGGAAAAAAAATATATATTTATGTTATATATATATTCAATCAATCTTTAAAATTTATAAAAAAATATATTAATTAATTTTAATGAATGATTTAAATTAAATAAAAATGTATTAAACATTAAAAACCGATTTTCGACTTAATTTTTTTACTTATAATTTTCTCATGTTTCGACAATCGTTTGGATTTGTTTTTCATATTAAAAGAGAACTAAATATATATATATATTTAATTACTCCTAGTTTTTGTAATGAATTTATATTATTACATAAAAAAAAAAAAAATTAAAAACAAATAGAAAAATATTTTTAACACTCTTTAATCTCTAACAAATCTACATTGACAATTAAATAAATAATAATAATAATAATAATCTTTCATGTGACATATTATTATGAATATTTCAAACTTTTAATCATAAAAATTTCACAATTCGGCGTTAATTTTTATAATTATTCAATATTCATTTTGAATTGAGATAATGGTTTCATTTACTTGTATGCAAAATAAGAGTTAAAATTTTAAGAATCCTATTGAAATTATTATTATTAATATGTATTGATGAACTGAAAAGACTTTAATTGAATATTTTTTCTATATAGAATTACAATATAAAATCGCACCGTTTTCGTTAAAATTTTTTTAATTTTCTAATAGTTTAATAATAATAATAATATTGTATTATTTTTACATTAAAAATTTTGAGAGTTTAATTATCACAATTAAAATGACTAGAATGATTTTTAATTAAAAAATACTGATGAAAAATAATATTAATTTATTGTTTACATATTCGATAAAGAAAAAAACGAAAACAAATAAAAAAAAAAGTGTCAGCAGATAAATTAGCCGTACCATAGACGTAAATCAAAGGGCGGGAATGTGCAACACAGGATGAATTGAATATCGTGAGTGATTTTTTTAAAAAACCTATTTATATATATTTTTTACATAGTTAATGTATTAGAAATAATCGTTTTAAATAAAAAAAATAAATTTAAATATAATTTTCGATTAATAAATTTTGTTTCGAAAAAAAAATCAAAATCAAATATTAATTTACGAAAAGATTATACGTTCGTGTATATTGATTGTGCAGTTATTGGTTGACCTGCTGTTCTTTTTATTGACAAATATGGAAATGTAAAAAAATTTTTTGTATCGAACGTAGGAGTCGAAATTTTTTTTTTGTAAAAATTTCACACGAAATATTTTTCGGAATAAAAATTATATTTAAAAAAATTAACGGTAAGCTCACGTTTTAAATTTTTTTTATATAAAAAATTATTTTTAATTCCTCATTTAGGAACGTGAGTAGTACGAAGTCTGTGGGAAGAGATTTCAAGCAGGTGTGGATTTACTTTGTTCTCTTTTTTTTTTTTTAATATTGTGAGTTAGAAATCTTTTTTAAAATGATTATCACATAAAAACATTTTTTTTTATTTAAATTATTGAGTGATGTTTAAAAAAAAAATTTTTTCTCTCTCTCTCTCTCTTCTTATAAATCATTTCGTGTTGTGACTAATCATAAGCACATTACCTTCCACAGGGATCGTTAACAACTCATTGCCTTATTTTTTTTTTTTCAACTTCAAAAATAATTTTCTTATTTAAATTATGTATTTGCAGTTTAAATTATTTTTCCATAATAATAAGAAAACGTTATATTGTTACCATTTAAAATAATGAGACATAAGAGTTTTTATTATGACTGGTTGCAACTTGGTTTGATTTAAATAAAAAATAGTAAGGTTTTTATATATATATATATTATTTAAATCTATTATCTAACTTATTGTTATTACAATCATCATCATTATTATTTTGTTTAGTTGTCATGAATTTTCATTATTTTTTAATTATTGAATTTATGAGTGAAATTTGTATTTTCATACATGAAATGTATGTTCATTATTGTTTGGTATTTTAAATGATTAATTGGCCATTTTGATGTTACTGATTTTTTTTTTTAGCAAAATGTAAATCGATGGAGTTTTTTTTTTTTTCTCTTAGTCAAAAGTTTTTTTAATGAGTTTTTTTTTAATTTAAAAAGTTATATTTATTTCACCAAGAAGTAGGTTGTGTGTGTGAGTCATTATAACAACATGCCCTGGGCAATTCATATCACATTGAGTAAAACATTTTATTTTATTTCGATTTGTACTTAAAGTAGAATAGAATAGAAGGTAATAATAATAATTAACTAATATTATTAACTTATTTAATTAAATGTTTTGCGAGGAATTTTTTTAAAATTATTTTTTGATTTTCAGGCTATAAATTTTTAATTGTTTTTTTTTATTTTTTTTATTTTACTTTTTTTTCCAGAATGGCTTATTTACACTTTTGGTTTCGTTGTAATTGTGTGTGGTTAAGCGTTAAATTTACTAATTTGACTTCACATTCTATGTTGTTGATTCAAAGGAGGGAAATTTTCTTATTAGTAAATGGAGAAAAATTAAAATCAAAATTTCTTTTGGTTCCCAATGAAAAAACAACAAATATTTGCCAAAGAAATGTAACAATAATATCGAAATCAAAACCTTGCGAAAATAAATTTAAATTTGATTCGAATACAATAAGTCAGCTGTCTGTGAGTAACGAGATACAGTTTTTCAGAGATGTTAGAAATAATTACACAGAAGCAAAATATTCTGATGATGAAGAACCCTATGGACCACCACTTGCTATTTTACTCCCTTGGAAAACCTTAAGCGAAACCCTTTTATCAAAATTAATTGAAATCTATGGTGAAAAAGGTTTTGACGTTGTTTGCGTTTGTTTAAAACCAGAACAATATTTGTATCCGTGCGTTTCCGGAAGTGCCATGAATGTCGTTTCCGATTTACTAAATTATTTAAACGATTGTCATAGAAATAGACCTTACGTTATTCACGGATTTTCCATTGGCGTGTACATGTACGGTGAAATGTTGGCACAATTTTCCGATCAGTTTGACACGCACAGGTGCATAATGAATAACATAAGGGGATGCTTGTGGGATAGTCCCGTCGACATATTTGCCGTTAAATCTTGCATTGGAAAATATTTTTATCCGCAAAATTGGTTTCAAAGGTTTGATCCTTAATAAATACCACGTGACCATCGAATTCTATGATAATTTTACCCTTTTTTTTTTTTTTAGATTGAAATGCAACAGGGCCGTAAAAAGTCATTTTAATAAACATTATCACGATTCTGTGACTTATTGGGTTCGATCAAAAAATAATTTTTGTAATCCCGTCGTGAAAGTTCCCAACGTTTTTTTCATTTCTTGCAACGACATGCTAAGCAATCCCTCCTCCCTTCAAGACGTTCAAAAAAGTTTAGAATGTAACGGAGTGAAAATATTTCAAAAAGCCTGGTGGGATAGCACTCACACGGGTCATTTTGAAAAATATTGTTACGAATACACGTACGGAATGTTTTTGTTTTTTAATTTGGCCAATTTGTTTCCGGATTCTTGTGGAAAATATCGGAGTTGTGGAAAAAATAGAATTCAATCCATGACCAACGTTTTATTAAGTAAAACGTCGAGAAACAATTTTCCGCAATGAATAAGAAAAAAAAAAAAAAAGAGAAAAATTAATTTTAATAATGACAATAATAATGATAATAAATTTTTTGTTTTGAAAAATGAATTGTTATGTAAATCGCTCGTATAGAAAAAAAAAAAAATTAACGACATTCGTTGGTGCTTATTTTTCATTTCTCACAGTCGTGCCATAAATTAAATAATATCTATCTAGTCATTCAATCAATCAATCAATCATTCATTCATGTAATATTAAAGTTTGTTTTTTTGTTTGTAAATAAACAACAACAACAACCACGACCACCACCGCGTTAAATTTTATAAAAAAAAAAAAAAAAATGTCAATTGCCAATAAATTACTACGGTTCATTTTGTCTTTTGATTTTTTTTTTTTTAAATCGGAGCCAAAACGCGCGCTTTTTATTATTATTATTATTATTATTATTATTATTATTTGTTTTGCTTGTGATTTACACAACACGTGTAATATCGTGTGACGTTTAAAAATAATAAATATATTTTTGTAAAAGGGGGAAAAACAAAACTAAAAAAAAAAAAAAAAAATGACATGAAATTAAGTGAAATAATAATTTCGTTTAATTATTATTATTATTATTAATATTATTATTATTATTATTATCATTTATATACATTTAAACGTGTTTTTTTTTTTTTTTTAAATTGCGTCACAGAGTTTTAAAACATTTGACAAATTGTTAAATAATTTTTTCGAATGTTTTTCTTTTTAGAAAGTTTTTTTATTTTTCATTGAATTTATTTATTATTATTATTATTATTATCATAAGTCGTTACGGCGGGTTGTTAAGTCCGTGAAATTTTCTTTTGGTTATTAATAAGGAGATAAATATTGTTGAAGCGTGGATGAAATCAAGGCGGAAAAAGGAAACGCGAAGGCTTTGATGGAAAAAGTCAAAGGAAAATAAAGAAAATTTTATTCGAAAAAGTTTTTTTTTCTTTTCGTCTTCTTCTTATTCTTCTTTTTCTTTTTCGATGAAAAATTTCATTTTAATTAAATAATATCGTCGAATCGAAAAGGTACTGTTATACGTTTGTTTGTTTCTTCCCCTCCTCCCCCTCCCGAAAGATTCATTCTGTGAATGAATGAAGGAATGAATTGACGTTGGTGGTAAATACTGTTGGTAATATATATACATCAAATTTAAAATTGATTGGAATGAGTTTATTAAGTTTTTATTATTATTATTATTATTATTGTTGTTAATTGAAGTAAGTAATTTCATAAAAATTTATTTTTAGTTTTTGTTACGGTTTTAAAAAAATGGTGGAAAGTTAGGTTGTGGTCGTTATATATCCAAAGAAAAATGGAGCGTTGGAAATTTTTTTTTTTTTTGCAATAACATTTCGTATTGAAATTTTTATTAATTATTTATTTATTTACTTATTTATTTATTTATTTATTTATCCAGGTTATCAAAGCGTGAATTCAACATTTGCAATAATTTTTTTTATTTTTTGTTTGGGCGTAATGTAAAGAAAAAAAAACGTTATATAATTTTTTTTTTTTTGTTTTTCCCCTTCACAGATTTGTATTATTATTATTATAATGCAAAATTTATTATTATTATTTTTTTTTTATTTTTCAGTGAAGATTCAAAATGCATTTATCAAATCTGGTTTATTCAGTGCATGAAAGGAGTTGTTGTTGTTGTTTCGCGGAGGTGTGCACGAGTGTATCGAATCGTCATCAATTGATCAAAGCGCTTTCGTGCTTTGATATTTAATTTTAATTAAATAAAAAAAAAAAAAAAAAAGAATTCATCGTGAGAATTGGAAAATCGAATTGAAATTTGACGATTGGAAAATGTGGACTTGTATAAATAAAAACTGTAAGATATAGTACTGATGGATACGGGTCGTAGTCGACCTAGTCGTGCGAGATGTCGGTCTGTCTCTCAGACAGCCCGAGTTCTTGTTTTCGACGAGCCAAGTGGAGCGGATGAGAGCATGTCAAGCAGGAGATTTTCCGATTCGGAAGAACCAAAGCCAGTTCAGCATATGGAAGTACCAAATTTTGTTAAAATGCGGTCAACACTGGGTCAATCAGCTCCGTCCCTTTCGGCAAACGTCAAAGAAGGTGCTATATCGCGAAAAACTAGTCTCATAGCTCATAGGAAAAGTTTGGTTTCGGCAACGTCGCCCACGTTACCTCGGTGTCATTCCCCCATTCCGGCTAGTCCGCTAGAAAGCCCTCGCATGTCGCCGAGCATGGGTCATTTTTCGTTTGTTTCGTTGAAAAGAGGAGATGGGAGGAGGTGGTCGGTGGCTTCGTTGCCTTCTTCCGGCTACGGAACGACTCCCGGTAGCTCCGACGTTTCATCGCAATGTTCAAGTCAGGAAAGACTCCATCAGCTTCCGAGCGTGCCAACGGTGGATGAATTACAAATGCTGTCGCAGCATTTTTCGTCAAACGATCACGGGGAAGAGGAGGGTCGACGCTCTCCCAGGTTCAGGCCCAGATCGAGGAGTTTAAGTAGTCCTAGTCGTTTGCCGGTTTTCGATAACGACATCGTTCTCATGAACACTCTGTACAAGGAGAGATTTCCGAAAGCCACGCAACAAATGGAAGAGAAATTGAAAAGTTTCATTATTGAAAACACTTCCGAAGCACACTGTGATATTTTTGATAACGTTTCGCAAGATTCGGTACCCATTATAAGATTCGTTCATCACCAAATAATTGAAATGGCGAGAGATTGTTTGCAAAAGTCACAAGAAAAATTAATAACTAGTCTGTACTTTTACGAAATGACTGAAAATTTAGAAATTCTTTTAACCGAAACTAAAGAGAAATCCCCTCAAGCCGCGTCGAAAATCACTGGGTTGATAAAGAAAATATTATTGATAATATCGAGGCCGGCTCGATTGTTGGAATGTTTGGAATTCAATCCCGAAGAGTTTTATCGCATATTGGAAAAGGTCGAAGGTCATGCTAAGTCAAATCAGGGAATCAAAGACGATTTGCCCCAGTACATTGTCGGCAAGTTGGGTTTAAATAGAGATCCGATCGCGGAATTTCAAGAAGATTTGGATTTGTTGGAAAATTTCTCGAAGGAAAACAATCAATCAGTGCAATACAACAACGCTCCGGTTACGCAATCGGAAGAAATGAAAAAAATAACCGTGAAACCTCCCGCGGAAGATGATTTCGAGATAATCAAACTTATTTCGAACGGAGCTTACGGAGCCGTTTATTTGGTGCGATTAAAAGAAACGCGTCAAAGATTTGCAATGAAAAAAATAAATAAAAATAATTTGATGTTGAGAAATCAAGTTGAGCAAGTTTTCGCCGAGAGGGATATCATGAGTTTCACCGATAATCCTTTCGTCGTGAGCATGATATGTAGCATTGAAACAAAAAGACATTTATGCCTCGTCATGGAATACGTTGAAGGCGGCGATTGCGCAAACCTGTTAAAAAGTATCGGTCCTCTACCTTCGGACATGGCGAGATTTTATTTTGCTGAAACGGTTCTTGCGGTTGAATATTTACACAGTTACGGAATCGTTCACAGAGATTTAAAACCGGATAATTTACTGATAACAGCTTTGGGCCACATAAAATTAACCGATTTTGGCTTAAGTAAAATGGGTTTAATGTCGTTGGCCACAAATATTTACGAAGGATACATTGATAAAGAAACAAAACAATTTTCCGATAAACAAGTCATTGGCACTCCGGAATACATTGCTCCGGAAGTGATTTTGCGTCAGGGCTACGGAAAACCCGTCGACTGGTGGTCGATGGGTATAATTTTATACGAGTTTTTGGTCGGGTGCGTTCCATTTTTCGGGGAAACCCCCGAAGAATTGTTCGCGCACACAATTTACGACGATATCGAATGGCCGGACGAAAGTGATTGGCCTGTTCAATCGGAAGCGAAAAGCTTAATAACATTACTCTTGCAACAAAATCCGAGAGACAGGTTGGGTACGGGTGGAGCGCAAGAGGTGAAAGAACATCAGTATTTTTCCACGATTGATTGGAATTCGTTATTGCGTCAAAAAGCCGAATTCGTACCGCAATTGGATCACGAGGAAGATACGAGTTATTTCGATTCTAGAACCGATCGATACAATCACGATATGGGAGAAGATACGGACGACACGGACGAATCTCCATTGTTCGGATCGTTCGCATCCTACTCTCCGCAATATAGAAAAGCCCAAGGTCGACTAAATCTCAATGACGAAATCGAAGGTTGCCTTTCTAAAAAGGGAAAAGGAAAAGTTTTGGTTGGAACCGACGACTTGGATAATCAAATGTCAAATCTTGTTGTAACACCAGAAGTGGAAACAATTAAAGAAATGTATGACGCAAAAACCATAAGTGAAAGTAAACCGACCGCTTTGCCGAGCACGCCTGAATCGTCGCAAACTGAAAGTGATGACGTATCACCTCAAGTTCAAAGAAAGAGAAGATTGCACAGTCGTGAAAGTTTGCCCAGGTTTTCCATTTCGGTCGAAGAAGAAAGAGCCAAGCATGAATTTTCTAAATCTTCTGGAATTCCTAACCGTGAACTTTTGCCCGTGGAAGAAAAATTTGGGTCGTTAAATGTCACTCCGAGAGTTCCAGGGTTAAATTTATCATTATTATCGAAAAATCGTCCCCGAGGAGTGATAAAGAGCGCATCTGCTTCTGGATTGTCACTTATGATACCAACGGATTACGTCGTCGATGATTTACCCCCACAGTCAATGCAATCTCCTGGGGGTTCGAGCAGCTGCAGTTCTCGTGACACGTCTCCTTGCCGCGAGTTTTTACCATTAATATCATCGTTAAAGAAACCAATCATCATTCGACGCGGTCCCAAAGGTTTCGGATTCACAGTTCACACGATTCGAGTGTACTACGGTGATACCGATTTTTACACGATGCATCATTTAATTATGGCCGTGGACGAAGAATCTCCCGCTTATTCTGCCGGTTTACGACCCGGAGATTTAATAACTCATATAAATGGAGAATCCGTGCAAGGGTTATATCACACACAAGTATTACAGTTACTTCTTTCCGGTGGAGAGCACGTCACGATTAGATCTACTCCATTGGAAAACACTTCTATAAAAACAGGTGGCAGAAAAAGAGAACCAATGCAGAGTAAATTGGCCAAGCGTAGTCTACTTAAACAGAGAAGGCAAAAAAGAGAACAAAACGATAAAAAAAAGAAAAATTCGCTGTTCAGAAAAATAAGCAGCAAGCATGCTAACGTTGAAAAACAGCAGAAAACCTCATTAAGTTCTCCCACCATGGTGACTCCGAGTCGGAGCTTTCAATCTTTTCCCAGAGCGCTTTCTCAAGAATTACCAACAGTATCAGCTAAAACTGCATCCTCTCAGTCAACCCCTCGTCTTTCATTTTCCCCGATTGACAGTAGTTTGTCGACGACGAGCTCGTCCGGAAGTTCGTCTATAAGTAGTCCGGGAAGCACGGTGGGAAATTCTGCCGCAGCAGCTCAATATCAAAGACCGTCTACACTCCACGGCCTGAAACATAAATTACACACAACACCGAAAACGATCCATTCCTCAAATCGTCGAAAATCAGTCGGCCACATACCTCTCAGTCCATTAGCGAGAACTCCTTCTCCGTCTCCGATACCGGCCTCTCCGACCAGATCACCCAGTCCGTTAGCATTCCCAGTTGGACATCAACCCGGAAGTTCTAACACGACTCAGTCTTACTCCCCTGGCTCATCTCTCACGCCAGTGTCTAGCAACAAAAAAAGTTTCAACAGACCTAAAAGTGCCGAGCCTGGTTCTCCATTATTGCGAAGAGCTCTGTCACCCGATCGCCTTCATCCGAGGAGTGCAGAAGGAAAAACCAAATCCGTACCATCCACTATATCCCCTTTGTGCAATATGGATTTAAAAGTCAACATGACCATAGCTCCGAGAGTGACGATAACATCTCAACATTCTACGATCGTTGTCAAAGAACCGAGTATCACGTACCCTCGTTCCGTGTCGGGAAAACACGAAACCATACCTGAATCCAACACTCATAAAATTGAAACGAACGATTTGATCCGGAGCATGTCGGGAGAAATGGGAATTTCCGGTCACGACAAGACAAATTCTCCAAATTATAAAATTTTACCGCTCGACGAGAAAATCCGCGGGGAAAACTGTCGACTGAGTTTGTCTTCTCTCGGATCGACCTCGTCTCAAAATTCTGAACGAGAGAGAACGAGTCAACCGTTGCCGAGAATAGCAGAAGAAAAGGATTCTCCGACCGGAGCCAAGGAAGGTTTCATATCGGATTTGCTCAAGAGGAGAAAATCGGAAGCGGAGGAAAAGAAATCGAAGCAAGACGTCGTCGTCGAATCCGTGCAATATTTCGAAGCCACGTGTCAAGTCAAACATTACGAGATGAAAAGATGCGGGGTCATTTTTCCGGCGACGAATCAAGTGGCGACGATATCGTCGCAATACGCAGAAAAATTCGAACAGGGGGCGGAAAAGTGTAAGAAATCAACGGACGGTGACGACAAAGGGAAACATAAGATTTCAACGGATGCATCGGCGGAAACCGTCAAATCGTGTCCGAGACCGGAAGATGAACCTTCGTCCGGAGAAAAAGACTCCAAGACGTTCTGTCAGACAAAATGCGAGAGCGCCGCCGCCGCCCACGCCGCCACCGCCGGCAAAAAGAAATGCAGCGGTAAAAATGAAAATTTCGGTAAGAACAAAAGCGGTAAAGAAAAAAAAAATAATAACAATCAAAAAGAATGAATTTTCGTGTGTGTGTGCGTGTGTGTATTTCCGCCGTTTCATAACCGGAAACAGAAAGAAAGAGAGAGAGAGATAGAGAGAAAAATAATAATAATAATCGAAACACCAAAAAACAATCGCCATTTTTTTTTTCTTTTTTCACGTCGTGCTTTTCCGCGGTTAAAATTTATAGGAAAAAAAAAAAAAACATAAAAAACATAAAAAAACATAAAATTAGAAAAAACCTAAAAAAAAATTTTGTCCAAACATTTTATCATTATTATCGTTATCATTATCATTAGTATTATTATTATTATTATTGTAATATTGTAATTAAAACGTTTAAGAAATGCAAGGAAAAAAAATTAATAATAATAATAATAATAATAATAATTAGTAGATAAACAAATGGAAAGATACGTAGTAGATATTTTTTATCTATACACACTTATATATATATATATATATATATATAAATGCATAATAATACGGATATAAATATAACGATTAATTAATTATAAAAAATTAGTGTCCTCGTATTCTTTATTATTATTATTATTATTATTATTACTACTACTACTACTACTACTACTACTACAATTATCGTTATCATTATTATCGTTATCATCATCATCATTGTCGTTGTCATCGTCAAGTGTGATTAAGGTTGTAAAATGAAAAGGTAAAAGAATCGAACAAATTTTTTTGTTTTGTAATTAATTAATTTATTAATGAGATGTTGTTATTATTATTATTATTATCATAATTATCATCATCATCATTATTATCATTACTAAAAGGGAGCAGGGAGAATGGGTTGGTGGGTGTAAACAAATACGATTTGGAAAAATGCGTAAAATTCTTGTTTTGTTTTCTCCACACTATGTATTTTATATATTTACTCATTGTTGTTATTGTACGTAATTGCTACCACCACCACCACCACTACTACTACTACTACCCTTACCACCACATTCGTCATTTGTGTAATTATTATTATTATTATTATTATTATTTTTTGTAATTAAAACAATTGTATCGTGCGTGTGTGTGAGAAAAAACAAAACGATTTGCCGTTTCTCTCGCGATTCATTAATTAATTACACAAAGTAAATTAAAAATAAATAAAATATGACGTAACAAATAAATAAATAAATAAATAAATAATAATAATAATAACATTTTGTTGTCATAATAATTCATGAATGATATTAAAAAGTAAAAAATTTACGTAAAGTTCCTTTTGACGACGATTATCATCATCATCATCATTATTATTACTATTATTGCATTAACGTAATTGTATTTATTTATTTATTATTATTTCGATTTATTAATTGATCCACTCATACGTTTGTTTATTTATTTATTTATTTATGTATCCCATTAATTAATTAATTAATTAATAATAAATCGAAATTGACGACGTCTATTTATTTATTTTTTTTTTTCTATTTTCGAATTTTATACGCTTATTAAATACATTTTTTTAAAAGTATTAATGATGATAATAATGATGATGATGATGATGATGATAATAATAATGATGATGATGATGATGATGATGATAATAATAATGATGATGATGATGATGATGATGATGATTATAGCGGCTTGTTAGAACCGTTTAAATAAATTAATAAAAAAAAAGAAAAAAAAAGGTTCCTTTTTATAAATTGATATTATACGCATCCATCGAATGATTTATTCACATGTATATATTATGAATGAATGAATGAATGAATGAATGACTGAATGAATATTTGTTCGACGCGTTAGTAATGTTAATAATAATAATAATAATAATAATTTACGTAAAATTTAAAAAAAAATTCTCATAACGTATTTTTTTGTTTTTTTTTTCTATTCTCCTCCACTTATTAAAATTTAAAAAAAAAAAAAAATTAATTAATAATAATAATAATAATAATAATAATGATTAATTGATTTCAAGTGTTTGGTGTATAAATGTAAATTGTATAATCATCATCATCATCATCATCGGGGTTATATTATATGTATACTTATTTATTTATTTATGTATTTATGTTGTTTATATGTATATATATATATAAATATATTATTTGTATATCTTATTAATAATAATAATAATAATCATTTTATGTGAGTAACGTTGTATGTGTGTGTGGGCGTGCGTGCGCGCGCGTATTACATGATTAATTAATCGTTTATTAATAATAATAATAATAATAATAATAATAATTTTTTTTTTCGATGTTTCTTATTTCAAATTTTGATAAATTATTTGACTTGTACAGACTGTGATAATTATTATTAATAAATAACAAAAAAAAAAAAAAGAAATTATTTTTAATTAATATTATTATTATTACGACATTCGTTTTTCTTTTATAATTGTTAATATTATCATTATTATTACTATCACTATTATTATTATTATCGAGAAAAAGAAAAACTTTTTTTGTTTTTTAAATTCCTTTTCTTTTACATTTATATAATTTCCCATTGCGATCGTCCGGCAGGTTTTTTTATTAATAATAATAATAATAATAATAAGAGGAACAACAGCATAAAGTAATAATGATAATGATAATGATAATTAAATACACGAATAAAAAAAAATTAATTAATTATTTATTTATTACCGTTTAAAATATTGATTTATTGATTAAAACCTTCCCCCCTCCAAAAGAACAAGAAGATGCGTTGAAACAAAGTGATGATGATAATGATAATGATAATGATAATGATGATGATGATGATGATTTTTGTCACATGTATATAAATAACAATAAAAAGTTTTGAAAAGTTATTATTATTATTATTATTAATTGCATTCGTTATTTGGTAATCATCATGTATATTTATTTATAATTACGAACGTCATATGTGAGAATATTATTTATAAATTATTATTATTATTATTATTATTATTAATATTAATATTAAATAATTTTTTAAAAGCTTCTTTTTTGCGTTTTTATTGCGATTTTGTTTTTTTTTTTTTTTTTAATATATTTTTATTCAGTTGATAAAGTTTAAAAAAAAATTTGAAAACGTTCCCGTCCTTTTTAAGGGACTTCTTTTTAATTACGAAAAAAAAAATTAATTAAATATAAATTGATATATATATATATATACATATATACAAGTTTTATTGTTTGTGTATAAATTTTTGGTACCCCTCTTCCCAGTCCCCCCCCCAAATATACCTTTTTTTACGGGATTTACCGTTAAATAAATGATTAACGCGCCTATGGAAATAAAATGTAAGTATTTAGCTTATGGACAGGTAAGTTATTATTTTTGTTATGATTTATTTTCTACTAATTTGTTTTATTACGTCTGTCAATTTGGGATTTTTTTTTCTTTTTAAATTTTATTCAAAATGTTTTCGAACGATGGACATATCATAAAAACTAAAACGAAAAGAAAAAAAAGTTTATATCAAGAAAATTTAAATTTTATTTTTGCCGCGCAATATGGCGTCGATTCACAACCGAAAATTTTTTCGTCATTTTGTTTTTATCAACGTTATTAAATTTTTATGTTTTATTGTTTTAATACGTTTTTGTTAAAGTAAGAGAGTGCCAAATGTTTGAAAATGAATTTATTTTTTGTTTAGAATTGAAAAAATAAAATTTGTTTTTTTTTAGACTGGCTAGACCGTCACTTTTTGTTATTCCATTGCTGTTGACCGTTTTTAAAAGAACAGCAATGTCTAATTTTACTTACACAAATGGATTACATTCTGTTGCTTTTGTTACAGTTCCGAGTAATGATGTTGCTAAAAAATTAGCACAGTAAGTTATGTGTGGAATTAAAATTTAAATAAATAATCCCTTTTTTCTTGTTGATATTCATGAAATGATTTATTTTTTAGTGGGATTGTGAGTAATAAATTAGCTGCTTGTGTTAATATTGTTCCTCAAATAACTTCAATTTACGAATGGAAAGGTGATATACAAGAAGATTCAGAATTATTACTCGTAAGTTTTGTTTTGTCTTTAAATATAATATTTAGTAATTTATTATATAATAAAAATTATTTACAGATGATAAAAACCAAAACAAATTTAGTCGATAAATTAACTGATTTCGTTAGGAAAAATCATCCATATGAAGTTTGCGAAGTTATAAGCACTCCTGTAAGTTGTTAAATATTTTTTATAATTAATGTAAAATTTTCATTCATTTTTCATCGACAAAATAATTTTATTTTTAGATTGCTAAAGGAAATGAACCTTATCTGAAATGGATCAATGATGTTTTGCCTGAAAACTAACATTGAACATTTTTCAGACAGAAATGAATAAAAGTAATATTTTACATCTGACCAATGGGTTCAGGTAATTAAGAAATTTATTTTATTATTCAATAAGTAAATTAGAATATTTTAAATTTCCCTAATGATAAGTAAAAATCATTACTTTAGCTATGCTCAGTACTTTCATATATATAAGTCAAACTTTTTTTTTTTTTATCGAGAAGATTTCAGTTAAAAAAATTTCAATATTTATTAGCTTTGAGGTAGAAATAAAAATCTTAAATAATAATAATAACAAATGAAATTATTTAATATTTTATATATTTATATATAATTTTTTTTTAATTTGAAAATTTGTTCGTTAATTTATCACATTCTAATTTGAAATTTTCCAGCTTTTGTTATGTATTTAACTCCTTTAAACGGTTTATATCTTTCTTGATGCATGTCTAATCTATTGACTTTTAATCCAGAAACTGCCAATTGATTGATTGTGAATTGCACATTAATTGTAGGCTTTGAATTTATGGCTCCTGAATTTGATTGAGTGCTTATCTGTCAAAATGTTAATAATTATTTTATCAAAATTATTATTAATTTTTAAAATCATAAAAAAATTAAGATATTTACAGATCCTCTTATGTTGGGAAGTTTTGTAACTTCGATTCTTCCAACTTCCCATAGTAATATTTTAGTTACTGGATCAAATGAATATTTTCCCTGAGTTGTAACTAAGCTACAGTTTAAAACTGATTTCGGCATTGGTATTTCAATTATGACATTTTCAACAGTTCTTCCTATTGTTTGTTTCGGTCCTACTGTTACATCTAATTTTCCATTGTTTCCCTCTCGAAAAGAAATTGAATGCCTTACATAAATTGGAATGGCTACTATGCTCTGAGAACCTATATGGTAGGACATGAGCCTGAAATTTCCATCTGGAGGAATGAATGATAAAACTCTTTCTGATTCCCATCTTTTAAATCTAACACACGGATGAAAGCTCACATCGTCGAAAAGTCTCGGATTCATAAATGATAGAGTTAAGTCGGGCATACCGCTAAGTTTTATACAACAACCAATCTAAATAGAAAAAAAAAATGAAAAATTTAAAACATTTAAAAAATTCAAATTTAAAAAAAAAAAAACCTTTTTCTGTCACTTACATAACCCTGAATTTCTGCAAAAACAGCGACACCAGTTTTATCAATGATTGCATCGACTTCTTCGACAACATCAAAATAAGCTTCATTATTCGTGTATTTTACTCCAGTTCTTCTCCATGGAATATTTGAAAGTTGTCCACTTGGTAATGTGTCGCTCACACTGAAAAATTAAAAATTATTTTCATTTTATTATTGTAATTATTTACCTGTTAATAAAAACTTATTCCTTCATAAGTACTCACTTTGACTTTCCGGTAACGGTATTGGCGATAGTTCTTAAAATATTTGGAGGTTTTATCAATTCTTTCAATATGTTTGATTCTGTAGCTAATGGAAAACCATTGTCAAGCATTTCATCTAACAATTCATAAACCACAACATAATGTTCTTTAATTATTGATTCTGTACAATCATTAAAATAATCTTCAAATGTATCAACAACTCTATGCAAAAATTCAATAACAAATAATGGAGGGACTAAAATAAAAAAGGAATTTCAAATTAAAACTTTTAAAACATTAATTAAACAAATAGGAAATGATTGAAATATGTATTACCTTCTGACATACATGCTGCAACAAGAAATATTCCACATCTATAAATCCTGATTAAGTAATGATGTGGAGTTGCTATAACTGGAGGAATATCTTCTGGACTGCTTACCTTTCTTTGCTCGTCGAAAAAATAATCGCATACTGATCTCGATATGACACTCTTCCAATGTTTTTCCATAAAAACATCTCTGTAATATTATTAATAGTAATTTTATCTATTAAATTATTTATTTCATTCAATAGTAAAATTTTGGTTAGATAGATCAAAGTGCAAATGTATGCAAATAAAAAATTTACCAAGTTTTTATTTATTTATTTTTAATCATATAAAAAATTTTTAAATTTGTTTTTTTTAAATTTAAGTCATTAAAAAAAATTTTTTTTTATTAATCAAACATGGAAAAATACTTTAATTTATTTAAATCCAAGTGTTTGTTGGTTACTTATAACTGACTAAAACTTTATCAGTAGTAAAGTAAAAAAAAATAGAATTAAATTACATAACGTAAATTAAGGGGAATGGCGTTTTAAATTAAACAAAAATAAGTAATAATTATTAATGATATTTTGTTATAAATAAAAGTTTTTTAAAACCTTACCCAGATAAATTAATTATAAACAAACTGTGTATCATATCTGACAGGTAAATTTTAAAGAGTACTCCACGCAAACAACATTGCGGCAAACATTTTTTTTTTTTTTTTTTTTTTTTTACATAGGTTGGTAGTATTATATCGTCTGCATGTATCGATTAAAATAGGATGTAAACAATTTGAATAGGAAATTTTATTCACGTTAGAAAAAAATGTACCGTACAGTGATATTATAATTAGTTTAGAATTAAAAATCAAATAATATATTTCAAAATGCAAGTATCTAATGAAGAAATGGAAAATAAATCGGATGCCGGTTTTAATTCGACAAAAATTTGTAGATTTTGTTTGTCATCAGCAGGTGTCATGTCCCCGATTTTCGAACAGGGAGAATTAAATTCTCTCCCGCTGTCATCCAAGATAATGGCTTTTATATCCATTCAGGTTAGTAAGTGGAAATGACAAATTATTTTAATTTTTTTTAAATTACCAATCGAGTTTTATACATGATACGTTAATAAAAATTAATTAAAAGTTTTGTGATCAGGGTGTGAGGGCCCCTCCTCCTTAAATCCTGGTGCCCCCGGCGCAGCTCCCGGATTATTTGAGTTAAATCAATATTAAATTTTTTTTTTTTTTTTAACTAAGCCCAAATAAATTTAATTAACCATCTAACAGTTTTAAAAAAAAATGAAAAATTTTAATAAATAAATTAAAAATTATCTGAAAAAAAAAGTTTGAAAGTACATTTCTAATGAATGTATGCAGTTAAAAACTTTTTTGATGCATTTCATATGTTTAAAAATTATTTATTGTATTTTAATTTTACAAAATATTGTCAGCCATAATTATTTTAAAATGCTATTAAAAATTTGATAAAAATTTTTAATTTTAGGTTTATGTTAACGATGGATTACCATCGTTAATATGTCACAGGTGTTTGTATCAAGTTGAAAAATCATATGATTTTAAAACACAATGTGAAGCATCTGATGCCATGTTAAGAAAGTATTTTTCAGCATTTCAATCATCACATTCCCCAAAAGGAACATCAACAGCGACAACAGGAGACAATGAAACTGTCGATAATTTTGTACCATCATTTGATTCGTTTAATTTAAATCAATTTCAAAAAGCTTTAATAAATAATTCATCGTTTTCCGATTCGCCGTTCAAAAGAAAAAGAGGCCGTCCGAGAAAAGAAGAAAATATGATGTTTTACAATCCATCATCATCCCTTTATCCTCATTTGGACGTGACAAACGGATTCGGAAAATATCCGGATGACGAAATTAAAATTGTCGACGGAATCGAATCCCTTGTCACGGTCGTCGATCCACGATCGGAAATATTAACGAATTCCGATGACGAAAACAAAATGGAAAACGATAACGAATGCGTGGATAATAGTGATAAAAACGAAACGAAAAATCATAATAGTGATACGTTGTTAGATTCTTTAGAAATAGCCAAAGCAAAAGCAAAGAAATACATGGGAGTTGTTATAGGTGTCGATGAAAACGGAATGAGAACTAGAAGGCATTTGTGTAAGGGATGCGGAAAAACTTTCGGACATTGTTCCGATTTGAGAAAACACGTATTAGTTCACACGGGTGAAAGGCCTTTCCATTGCAGAATATGCACGAAAACATTTTCGAGGAGTACAAATCTTAACAAACACATGAAAGTACACACGGGTCAAAAGCCTTATTTTTGCACGGATTGTCCTAAATCCTTTGCCACGAAGGGTGATTTGCAAAGGCATTTAATTATACATTCCGGTCTCAAACCTTTCGTTTGCCATATTTGTAGTCAGTGTTTTTCGCGTAAGGATAAATTGACGAGACATTTAAAATTACACGAAAATGGGGGGTTAAGTAAATTAAATTTTAAATGCGGTGCGTGTTTAACGGTTTTTCATTCGAAATTGGATCTCAATCAGCACACGAAATTAGTTCACAAAGAGCGAGAAGAAGAAAATAGAAAGGAGAATGACGACGGCGAATGCGATGGCGATGGCGATGGCGACGACGACGGTGTCGACGTCGACAACGTCGACCCGTGCAAAACAAACAATCCAAATCAATCCGAATCGAATTACGGTGATGTAGAAAAAGTAGTCGAAGAAAATGACGTTTGTAACGACGACGACGACGACGACGATGAAAAGGAAAAAAAAGACAAAAATGATTTCATGTTGGAAAATGATGGAGGAAGTCCGGAAGTTGAATCCATGGTCATTAACATAGATCCATTTCCGGTCGATTCGGATTTAAACGGTTTGCAAATTATTTATTTTTTGCGTTTGAAATGATTTAAAAAAAAAAAAGGAAAAATTTATTTGTTTTTATTTGTTTTCAGATGCCATGAACGATTGGGAAAAAGAAAAAGACAAAAACGATTTCAAAACCGATGATTCGTTAGATGGTAACAATTTAGATGAAAATAAAACGAATTACGTCGGGGGGAGGGCGGGAAATGAAAAAAAACAAAGTTTCCAGTGCAAAACATGTTATAAGAAATTTAACGAACTCGCTTATTTAAGATCACACATGGTAACACATTCCACGGTGAAACCTCACAAGTGCACAATGTGCGAAAAATCATTTACCAGACGACGAGAATTGTTACGTCACGAAAACGTTCACACGGGTTTCAAACCGTTCAAGTGTAAAACTTGCGGAAAAGCTTTTTCGAGAAAGGACAAACTCGTGAGACACGAGAAAATACACAACGGTGTGAAAAAATTTTATTGCACGTTTTGTCCGACATTGAGTTTCGTCAAAATAGAAGATTTGATTCTTCATCACCGTTCAGTGCATTCAGAAATGGAAGTTCCCTACGTGTTGCCCCCACCGCCGCCACCGTCGTCGTCGTCCTCGTCGTCGGCGGCATCATCGACGAACAATGTCAAATACCAGTGCGAAATATGTCTTTTGTGTTATGGAAACATGAAAACGTATCAGGATCATTTGAAAAGTCACAACAAGGACAAAGGCAACGACGACGACAACGGAAACGGAAACGGAAACGTCGTTAATTCTAGTCAAGATTCGAAAATGCTTAACGGAGCCGATTGCGAAAGCGATTGCGGATATTCCGACGAAGAGAAATTTGTCGCCAATTCGTCATTGGAACAATTAAATTCAAATCCAGCCATAACTATAACGTCTGTGTCGTCGTCAAAATCTTCGGCATCGTCATCTTGGTAAACAAAATGGCGGAACGAAAATGTTAAGTTCAATTCGTTCGAATTGAATATTCTTTAAAAAAAAAAATGTAAAGTGCTCAAAAAAATTTTTTTAATGGCGGTTGAAAATCGTTTTTATATCATTCGAAACGAAAAAAATGGTGGAAAATGGTGCGGTGCTCAAAAAGTCATCAAATTTCTTTTTTTTTTAATTAATTAATTGTTTATTTAATTTATTTATTTATGTATTTGTTAATGTTTTCGAAAAAAAAAATATGTTTGTTTGTCATTTCGTTGTTTAGTTCCTATTATTATTATTATTATTTTCAATTTGTGTTGTTTTTTTTTCTCTCTCTCTCTCTCTCTCTCTTCGAGAGATTTCGATTCGATAAATCGAACGAATATGAACGATTTATTTTTTTTTCTGTAAAATAAAAGAAAATAAAAATTTTTTTTTTTTCAATTTTTTTTTCTGTATTCTTGTTGAAAATGAAAAAAAATTTATTTTATTATTATTATTATTATTTATTATAGTACAAAGTTCAAATTATTATTTATTACTATAAATTGTTGTTGGAAATATTAGAAAAAAAAAATAATAATATTTATTTATTTATTTATTATTTATTATTTATTTTGTTGGATTTAATTTATTAATTTAAAAATTGTTTAAATTATTACTTAATTTAATTATTATTATCAATATCATTATTAATTTTGTTTTAAGTTCGTCGTTACGCATAAAACCTATTAATTAATAATAATAATAATAATTATTATTATTAATAATATGTTTGTAATGGTTGTTATCACACACGAAATCAAATGGTAGATGTCGTCGTTTCATCAACGGTTAATTAATATTGTGATAAACAAAAAAATCATCATCTCAAATAAATACGTAAAATTAATTATCATTATTTTTTTTTATACTTATTATAATAATTATTATTATTATTATTATTTTGTCATAATGATCATCGTAAAAATATGCCAAATAAATAAATAAACAAACAAACATTCTCGTCAGTATTTAATTAAATTTAAGTATTATTAATGTTATTTTTGTATTCCGAAAGAATTTCAGTATTATTATTATTATTTTTTGTTAAATAATTGCGTAGAAAAATAAATAAGAAAAATTAAAATTGTTTTATTATTATTATTATTATTATTATTATTATTATTATTATTATTATTATTATTATTATTATTATTATTATTATTATTATTATTATTATTATTATTTAATAAAAAATAAAAATAAAATTTTTTTTTATACTTTCGGGCAATAATAATTTGTATTATTATTATTATTATCAATTTTATACCGATCGATACGAAGTTGTAAATTTATACGTATGCATTCAAATAATAATAATAATAGTGATATTAATATATGTGTATATTATGTAAATTAATTAATAATATACTTATGTAAAAAAAAAAAAAATTTATGTATGTACGTATAAATAATTTTTTCATATTAGTTATAAATTTTGAAGAAAAAAAAATTCAATTCCAACTGAATTATTATCATTATCATTATCATTATTATTATTATTATTATTATTATTATTATTATTACACGTTAATAAAAATTGAAAATAATTTATCATTATTATTATCATTATTAAATTTTAAAAAGAAAAGAAAAAAAAAGAGAAAAATTAACTTACGTACTGTGTTATTAAAATCAGGTTGATAAAATTAATTAATTAATTAAATAATCGTTAGGAAATGATAATAATAATAATAATAATGATTTTTTTTGTATTGTTTTCTAGTCGATGTAATAAAAGAAAAAATTTTTTTTGTTATTTATTTATTTAAATTGTGGTTGTGAGTTACTAATTAATTTATTTTTTTCAAAAAAAAAAAAAGGAAAAAATTTATTATTTATTCGAAATTATTTTAATTTTATTATCATTATTATTATCATTATTATTAATAATTGAAGAAAAAAATAAGTAAATAAATAAATAAATAAATTTTCTTCCGATTATGACGTATTTTTATTTTTTAAAAAAGATTTTCCGTAAAAAACGAGAAGTGAAAAATAAAAATGGAGTCGATGAAAATTCAATTTGACCGGAAATGAACGAATAAATGTCTGAAAAAAATTTTATTTATTCGATTTGATTTTTTTTTTTTTTTTTACAACATTATTTTATATGTATGTTTAATATAGAAAACAACCAAACAAACAAACAAACGAAAATAAAAATCGACTTCTTTTATTTTTTTAATTGTCTCAAAGGAAATTTGTTTTCTTGTACGTTAACGTTTTGTTGTGCGGCACTGGAAAAGAAAAACAAAACGATTATAATCATCATCATCATCATCACCACTACCATCACCACCACCATCATCATCATCACCACTACCACCACCACCACCATCATCACCATTACCGTCATCATCATCATCGTAATGATTACTTTTCGGAATTTAAATACTTAATAAAAAACTCACCATGATGGTAATTGTTCAAGGTCAACACAATCCGACACTTCTTCGCTAAAACCGGTACCTTCCGGACAAGCCTGAAGCCTGGGCCTACCGTTAAGGCAAACAAAATATTTAGTGCAATCATATTGATTACTATAAGATTTATAATCGTCTCCATAATTTGCTGGACAAGAAAATCCGAGATAACCTGTAAGAGAGAATTCAAAAAATTCAAAATGAACGGCAGCTCATTCATTCATTCATTCATTGATTGTTTTGTTTGTTTTACGACAAAGCGTAGGAAGAAGTATTGTATTGTATTAATCATCACGTTTTCTATTTGACTACGTGTCCATTTTTTCATTGTTACACACGCACACGCACACACACACAAACAAAAGAAAAATACCTTCTGCATCGCATGAAGCAACCTGATCGGGCCAATCACAATGAAGGGTCAATTCATTGAATGCCAAACCCAAGGGACATTCAAACCTGTAACCTCTTCCGGCAACGCAATTGATAAAATTACCACAATTTTTAGAATCTCCCAATCTATAATATCCATAACTTCTCGGACATTCCGGCGTGCTTAGCGGAGGTTCTGGAAAATTCAAAAAACGGAAAATCAACAGAAAAAATCTCACTTCCGGTGGTATTTTCCACCTCGTAATTTTTTTTCACTTACGTAAATTAGATCTTCCTTCGCAATTAACTTCGACCGGATATTGACAGGGATAAGCTAAATAACTATTTTGTGGATTGAAAAGGAGTCCATCGGGACAAAGTTTTTCTTCTGCTACCCCGTCAACGCATTCGAAATAAGCATCGCATTGACTCGGATGCGGGTATCGGCCATTTTTTTCCGGACAACTCCCTGTCGGTGCTCGATATTGTTCTTGTCCCGTTGGAAATCTATTATTATTATTATCGAATTGCGCAAAACCTAAACAAAAAAAAAGAGAAAATATACGTAAAGTTCAACAAGCAGACGACGCCAAATAAAAAAAAAAATTGGAAAATTTGATTACAATCGAAACATGAGGGGCGTGTTTTTAACACCGATTGTGTCATACCAAAAAAATGTTTTTTTTTTTTTTTTTGCAAAATTCGTGTCGTTATCACGAACGATTTTTATTTAATATTATCAATTGCCCTTTTATCATTATTATTATTATCATTATTATTATTATCATTATTATTATTTGTTACATAAATAAAAATTAACATAACTTTTTTTTAAGTCTTCGGATTGTTGCATAACAACAAACGAGAAATTTTTTTTTTTTTTTAATGTATTTACTCAACTTTTATTTTTTATTCCACCACCTGAAAAAATTTAAAAAGTTGTCGACATACGGAAAAAATATCATCATCATCATCATCATCATATCATTATCATCATTATTATCAATATTGTTTCATCTATTATTTAAAATTAAAAAAAAAAAAAAAGGCGTTATTGAAATTTTTTTAGTTTGCAATTTACGTAATTTATGACGATGACGGTTTTTTGTTATTTTATGTGTTTCCCCCTTCCCCCTTCCCGGAGAAATTTTTTTTTTTTAAATAATAATGATGATGATGATAATTGTCTACTTGTCCAGCCAGAATCGAAATAATAATTATCGTAATGTCGGTGGTTGGAAAATTTTTTTTTTTTTTTGTTTCACATTTTTATAAAATTGTTTGTCTTTATCCGAAATTTATCCGCGGAAAATCAAAATGGAAAAATTTTTCTCCATATTACGACAGACTTTAACACAATAATAATAATAATAATAATAAAAAGATTATGAGCTGGATAAAAAAAAGTCAACGCTGGAGAAAAAAAATTTTCCAAAAAATTTAACGAGAAATTATTTAAAAAAAAAAAAATTTATTTCCCATTCTTATTTATTCCCTTATTATTATTATTATTACTCGAGTTTTTTTTTAAATTTTGTTAAAAAAAATTGTTTAAACAATTAATAATAATAATAATAATTTTTATTAAAAAAAAAAATAAATAACCGTTAAAAATCCTTATAAAAGTTTTTTCTCCACTCGCTCCCTTTTTTTACAAAAAAATTATTATAACTTACCGGATTTGAAATAAAAAATTAATAAAATAAAAAAAATAGAAAATGATTTTATCATGTTGATTAATTAATTAATTAATAATAATAATAATAATATATAAATTAAAAAAAGAAAAAAGAAAAAAAAAGAAAAAGAGCGAAAGTGATTATGCCGTATGAATGCGCGGGTCAAACTAGTTTGAAAGAAGAAGAAGAAAGAACCTACGAACTCATTGACCTTGTCAAGCCATTTAACTCATATGAGAATCTTCACGCACACGCACACACTCCTATCTCTCTCTCTCTCTCTTTCCCCCCTCTCTTCGAGATTTTGGAAAATTTTTTGTTTGTCACACACACACACACGGGAGGGGATATTTATCTTTAAGGAATTATACCTGAAACAAACAACAAATTTATGGAGCAAAAAAATTTTTAAATGTGATCTTTTGTTAAATCACGTACGAAATAAAAAAAAAAAAAAATTATTTCCGTTAATGTAAAGGTGAAGGATATTTTTCTTCTGCTTCTTCTTCTTCATCATCATCATCATCATCATCACGGTTTAGAAAGGTAAATTTTTTTTTTTCTTTCAAGGTATTTATAAGGATGTCCGTTATTTTTTAATAAATTTTTCATCCTCCATTAAATTCCATCTTCGACCTATCAAATTTTTTTCTTTCACAAAAAAAATTATGTAAAAATTTTTTATTATCGAGGAGAATCGCTTCTGATTATAAAAATGTACAAGGATGACAACGAGGTTAAAGGTCACCACCAAACCGACCACAACCAAGTTAAAAAAAAAAAAAAAAAATTCCAAAAGACCTGATTTTATTTTTCACATGAAATTTTAATTTTTGTAAACTTTGTTTCATCTTCTTCTTCTTCTTCTTATTATTATTATTATTATCATTAAGCCAAATGTGTGTGCGTGCGTGCGTGTGTGTTCTACTGTTATTTACAAACCAAGGATAACAACAAAAATTATAAATTATTGATATAAATTTTTTTTTTTTTTTTTTAAATTGACAAACTTCTTATTGAAAAACATCTTCTTTCTTTCTTTCTTCAAGAGCAAAAAAAAAAACAGCAAACAGTAAAAAAATTCAAATCATCATCATCATCATTATTATTATTATTATTAAATTACGAATTCAAACAAACAAACCGAAATTATTATGTAATTTTTTTTTTTTTTTTATCATCAAAATCAGGTATGTTCATAATGGATAAGGCACACCTTAATTTTTTTTTTCTTACGAATTTATTATACCTTCTTTTTTTTTTTAAATATATTTCGTGCATCACATTTTAAATAATAATAATAATAATGATGATGATGATAATTTACCAATGCAAAAAAAAATTTATTTTTATAAAAAAAAAAAAAAAAAAACGAAAAAAAAATTAAAATTATTGCTTATTCATTCACGGCACTAAAATTTTTTATTTTAAAAAAATTATTATTATTATTATTATTATTATTATTATTATTATTATTATTATTATTATTATCATCATTTCATCAAACTAAATAAAACTTTTGATAGTTTTTTACTTAAATCATATGTATTTATATATTTTTTTTCCTTATTTTTAAATTTCCGTGACGTCACATTTCCGGTCGGAAAACAATAATAGAATTTCAAAAGAAAATTCATAATTATAAATCACAATAAAATAATAATAATAATAATGATAAAATCAAAAGCTTTGATTAAAAAGAAAAAAGTCACGTGTTTATTTCGTAATTTTAATAAGACTAGAATAAAAAAAAAATTTTTTTTTTCTTTTTTTTTGTTTTTTTTTTAATCGTCGCTTTCGGTTTCTTGATCTTGTTCCACCTGCTGTTCTTCTTCTGCTAGTCTTGCTCTCCTTCTCCTTTGATTTATTCTCGCTATCATTCTTATCATGAATGATGCAGGCACGGTAATGGTATTACGAGTTTCTTCCAACATTTTTGCATTCCTGTTTATTAACTTTAATAGAGAAAAAAATGTTTTTTATTTGATTCCTCCCACCCATCTTTAACCAAAAAAAAAAAAAAAAGAAGGTATGATGTTATTACCCTATCGGCCAAATCGGCATCAAAATTACATTTTTCGTTCGTCGGTGACCATATTTTAATATCGTAATCGATACCCGAAGTGGCAAGATATGGCAGTGTCGGATGTGGTTGAAGACAATTGACGACGTGTTGGTCCCCCTGTAAAAGCATGACCAATTCCGCCGTTTTTCTATCCCATATGAATATGTGACCGCAATCGGAGCCGGACATGATATAATCGGATCCCCAAAACGTGGCTTCTTTTATCATTGTCCTGAAAAGAAGAAATCAAAGGATTTACATTAGGATGAAGGAAAAAAAAAAGACGTTATTATTATCATTTCATACAACCTAACGTTTCTGTGACCCGTGTATTTCTGAACAAAAGGTAACGTTAATACGGGAAAATCATCATCATTGTCATCTTGTTGTATTCCATCTCCGCCATTATTTTGTTGAACTTTTCTCGTGTTGCTGCCACTTTTTAAACCCCTGTATGGAGTCTCACTGGAAGACACTTCGGCAGTTTCGTTTTCATTTATATTATTTCCATCGTTTTCTTCTACTTCTAATGGTGGATTATTAAATGCGGCTCTCGTTGCTGGATCGTTTAACATTCTTGATAATACTTGAGTCATTCTTTGCATGAGAGATGAATGAAGGCTCGGTATGGTTTCAGAAGAATCTAAAAAAGAACAATTGCAAACGTTTAAATCAAAGAAAAAAGGAGGGGGGGGGAGGAAACAACAACAGTTTTAATAGAACAACCTTCGGATGAAGAATTTACATCTCTTTCAGGTCTTGCTTCTGGACCTGTATCTGACCAATCACCTCTCAGTCTAAGCTTTGGTATGTGAGGCCTGAAATTGGTAGATTTTTTAACATTTTCCGAATTCGATTCTTCCATTGCTTTCTTTTTAAGTTCGACCCAACTTTGTTCCTTTAATAAATAAAAAACACAAAAACCACCATTTAATTTAATGAAAAACCTATTTGATGAAAACGTTGTTGTAATCCACTGACCTGTACATCGAAAAGGTATAGATTTTCCGATGAAAAACTCACCAGCAGCTCATCTTTATCAGAACTGAATTGTAACGATGTTATTCTGTGACATTTACCTTTAAAATCAGGTAACGTGAAGGCAAAAACAGACTGTAAATGTTCAGTATCAGTTGAATAACCTAAAATTTTTAATAAATGATATTTCATTTCTTTATATTGTAGACAAAGGATTACGACATTTTGATTTACGTACCTGATATCGAACATAATTTGGTATATCTTCTATCGTAAAGGCGTACGGCACTATCGGATGTACCAACAGCTATTTGATAAGGCTTTGACGTATTACATGCAAGTGCAGTAACTGCTTTTTGAAAGGAAATAATTACGTTCTAAAACAATAATAAGAGAATTAACGAAACAAATTTAAAAAAACAAATTAAAAGTATATAAATATTATAATTCTCACACACTTCTCTACACTGTCGTTTTTTACATTTGTTCTGAACACGAAGATCAAACCATCGAACGGTGCCATCTTCTCCGCAAGTTAAAAAACATGTCGGATCCGTTCGAATCGTTTCTACTTCGTACACGGCACCAAAATGACATAAAATTTGATTATCTCTTGTTACTTCGGTATTGTTAACGTCTGAACAAAACAAAAATTATGTAAGGTATAAATTAAAATTGAAATTTTCAAACAATAACATCATTGTCAAGTTGAGTTATACCTGTGTGAAGAACCATACCATCTCCAGAACTTGATATTAAATTGTAACTACAAGAATGAGGTAAAAATTTGGCACAGAAAATATTTGCTTTGTGAGAACTTTTATACTTCCAAACAACCTAATGGTTAATACAATAATATATTATTAATGACACATGACACATGATGACCTTATGATGAACAACATACCTTATACTTATGACCATGAGTTATGATAAGATGTTGATCATCTGAACCAGATAACAAAACCGTACCTGATTCATCCCATTGAACAGAATTAACACAACCTTTATGAACGGCTAATTTTCTAGTCAATTTTAATCTTTGTATCAAATCTAAACTATCTGAAAGAATCATATTTTTTTTTTTAAAAAATCATTATTAAATCAACATTAATTCATTTTATAATTATTATACTTACTTTTTGAATTTCTAAATAAATTATGTTTTTGCGAACCACAACAAGGTTGATGATAAACATTATGAAATATATTATTTTTTGATGTTGACATTTTTTTTTTTTTATGTTCTTTAAATGTACAACAACAACAACAACAACAACCAAATTATAATAAAAACTTTAAGTATTTCATTTGATAATAATGATTAAAATGAATTTTTTTTAAAATAAATAACTGATATATATATAAAAAAATTGAAAATTAAATTAAATTAAATAGAAAATACATTTTAACAAAAAAAAAAAAAATGTCTTTTTTTGTTGTATTAACTACGGTTTAAACAACGATACGGCGCAAGACCATGCAAAAAATCAATATCATATGACTTTATTATTATTATTATTATTATTAGGTTAATATTTACACTTTGATGAAAACATTTTTATCGACAAAAATAAATACATAAAAATTTTTATTTATGCATTATTAAATTATTTTTTTTTTGTATAAAAGAAGGAAAAAACTTATGTATAACAAATAATAGTATGTTAAAAAGGTTTTTATAAAGTAAAATTATGTATGGGTATAAAGTTTATAATAATCCTAAAAATTTTAAAAGGTAAAAGTCGCATAATTGTATGTTGATGGTACAGAAAAATAAAATTTTAAAAATTATCAAAAGTTTCCTTTCTTATAATAACTTATTACAAGATATAAAAGTGTTGTTGTTAATAAATACTTGACAAATAAAAAAAAATGTGTAAGAAATTAAAATTTAACATGAATGTTTAGTATTTAAAACTTTGTTTAACACATTCGAGATATCGATAAAATCCATTAGAAATTTGAAATCGAATACATCTGCGAGGAAATGTTAATAAATAATAAATTTTCTTACAAAACAAACATTATTATAAATTTTTACATAAACTATGAGTTCTATCTATTCTTGATTGTTAGTTATATAAATTAATTCAGGTTAGAAATTTTTAATTTGTTAACCTATAAAAATGTGAAAAATATTTAATTTGTGAAATTATACGCCTAGAAAAACAAATTTTTTCTTTTTTTAATTAAATTTAAATTAAATAAAATTTAATTTAATTAAAATTATATAATAAAAAATTTTTAATGGCTGTTGGTAAATTAAAAAAAAAAAAAAAATCTTTCACTTCTTTTTTAGACAAATTAAAAAAAAAATAATAATGACTTTGAATGACAAAACCAACCAGAACTGTTCTAAAAATAATTTTATTATTTTTTTAATGTAATTTTACTTAAATTACAAAAAAAAACGCAACAACGCAAAATTTTCTTAATAAATTTACTATTTTTTTTTTCCATAAGGAAATTATACTTATTGATTTGAAATTATTTAATTTCGACTGGCTATAAAACAAAAAAATTCTTTTAAAATTATGTCTACATTTAAACAAGAATTTAGTAAAAATAAAAAAATAAAAGAAATTTAATAAAGTGATATAATTAGTTTTTATTATTATTATCGTTATTAAAATTCTTATAATTTGTTAGAAATTGCAAATAGTTAATAAATTAAAAATTATTACATTAATTAATAAAAATATTCTCTTTAGTCTTTTACAAAAATTTTTTTTTAATTATCATAATGACAGTTAAATTTATTCACAATAATATCTAAACGTAAATTTTATTATCACAATAAAAACATTTTACGGCGGTGTTGCCGGATTTATTAAAAAAACGATACGTAAAAGTTCACGTAAGGCGGTAGATTCTATTTCCACGAGTAACAACGGAAATTTATTCGAATGATTTGATTTGAAATTTTAATTAATTAATTAATTAATTAATTAAGAGTTCAAAATACGAAGTTTATCGAATGATTATTACTTTTATCAACGTTAGTAAGTTTTTTTTTATATAAGTATTTATATAAATAGCGTGTTTAAATCACGATTAGTAAGAATTTTTAACGGAAAAAACGTTTTTTAAAATAATACTTCAAATATATATTGATTGGAGATTGGTAATAAATGATTCGAAATTTCAATTTTTCAAAAAGATTTTAATAGAAAAAGAAAGGTAATAATAATCATATTAAATTTATGTTTATGAATAATAATTTTACTGAAATAAAAATGAAATATAAGTTTATACAAGTCTTTGAAAATTATCAAAAAAAAAAAAAAAAACGCCCACAGAAAAATTTATAACGTCCTCTTACACGATACAGTTTTAATGCCTAAAAAATAAAAATGATAAATAATATTAATTCATTTTACAAAAAAAGGAAAAAAAATTGTTAAAATTTTATTTTGCAACGCTTTATTCTCTCATTAAATTAAAAAAAAAAAATACTTTTACGAAATTTTTTTTATCTTTTCCCCCATTAATTTCGCCATATTTTATTCTATTAAAACCATTCAAAAATTTTATTCGTTAATTATTTATTAGAATAGTTTATGTAACTATTAACATTGTAATTAAAAAAAATTTTATTTATTTACAGGTAATTCCAAGTCGCAAAAATTATTTTACTATTTTGTAAATGACGTTTAAAAAAAAATTTCTAATGAAACCATCAAACGTAAATTAAAAGAAAACTAATTTAGTACTAACTAAACTACGTCACAACAAAATAAAAAAAAGGAAAACGTTTAAAAAGAACATAAATAAAAAAAAAAAAAAAAAAAATAAATAAGCAATAAAGCTTATTTTATTATTTTATTTTATTTTTTTTTTACGACTAATTAAATTATTTTTAATTAGTTTTTATATAAATAACTAACTATATATTACTAATAATTATTTTTCTTTTAGTTATTGATGAAATCGACGCGACGAGCCTTGGATTTTCCGACGATTTAAAATTCAAATAAAAAAAAAAATAAGATCAAGATCACATTAGACGTATAAACACGCACGCACACGCACGCACGCACGCAATATCAACTTTTATAAAAAAAAAAAAAAAAAGTACGAGTAAATATAATTTTTAAAATAATCGCGAAAAAGTTTTTTTTTTTTTTTTTTTTTTTTTTTTTGGTTTAATGGGTTAAAAAAAATTTTATTTTTTTTTATTATTATCAAAATTTATTAAGGTTTATATGAGTTAATCTTATTTTATATTATTATTATTATTATTTAAAGTACGAGGTTTTTTTATTGGTATCAAAATTAAGTTTTTTTTTCTCTTTTTTTTTTTTTTTTAGGTCATACATATAATTTATAATCGTGTCACACAAAAATGAAATATCGTGAGTATTATTTATTATTTATTTAAATTAAATTTATTAAAAAAAAATTAATTGATTTGTTTTTCCAGGTTTGTATTTTCTCCAGTTTTGGATTATTCCAATTATTTTTCATGGAACATTTGTGTCGGGATTAAAAAAAAAAGAAGATGAAAATTATCAACTTGAAGAAAAATATTCAAAAGCAACCATCGATTTTACATTAAACATGTTAAAAGTTTGTTTACTGTTTTGTTTTTGTTTTTGTTTTTGTTTCCCCCCCTCCTCCCCTTCCCAAATTTAAATATACACACGTGGAAAAATAATTTTGGCGCCATTTTTTTTTTTTTAATTTCAGACCGTCGAATCAAAATATAACGAATCAAATATAATTTTTTCACCTGCTAGCATAATCGGATTATTATCAGTTCTCCAGCAGGGTGCAAAAGGTTCTACCGCTTTGGAATTATTGAAAGTTCTTCGTTTGACACCGGAAGAATCTAAAAAAGGATTTTTAAATTTATTATCGTTAAAAGTAAGAGAGGAAAATTTGTTTTAATAATAATAATTTAACTGGAAAAGGAAAAATTAATTACTGGAAAATTTATTTAAATATAGAAAGAAACAAACGTGACGTTCGATTGGGGAAATCGTATATACGTAAGTCCTAGTATTGAAATACTGGAAGAATTTAAAAAAAAAACCCGCGAAAATTTCGAAGTCGATGTTAAAAAAATGAATTTTGGAGTGCCGTCGAGTAAAAATTCAAGCGACGAAATGAATAATTGGATCGAAGAAATAACGCATAAACATATAAAAAATATGGTCGATCCTTGTAAGTGTCCCCCCCTTTCCCCCCTCTGAAGTAAAACATTTTCCTTATTTAAAAAAAAAAAATTTTTCTTTTTTAGCAATGATATCAGTGGATACGATTATGGTATTGATAAATGCGATTTTTTTCAAAGGAAATTGGATGAGATCATTTAAAAAAACAAAAACGTCGACGGGAAATTTTGAAAAATTCCCAGGGGAACAAATGGAAACTGAATTTATGTCACAAAGGGATAAATATCATGCGGATAAAGATAGTTATTTAGGTGCTAAATGGATGTCTTTACCATTTCAAGTAATTATATTTCGTTCCGTCGAACGCACGCACACGCACCCGCACGCACACGCACAATCATCGTTTTTCCTTTATTTTACAGAATCAACGGTTTTCAATGGTTTTCATATTGCCAAATAAAAGACACGGATTAAATAATTTATTAAATAAATTAAAAACCGATGATTTACATTCTATATTAACGTATAAAGGAGTTAGCGTCGTTAAAGTTCGCATACCTAAATTTAAATTAACCGAAAAAGTATCACTCGAAGAAACGATGTCTCAGGTATTATTATGCTCTTGGAAAAAAATGCTCGTTTTTGATTTTAAAAAACCGTTAAAACGCGATGAATGTTTTTTTTATAGTTGGGACTTAAAACCATGTTTAATTCATTATCGGATTTGAGTGGCATGTCACCTTCAAGTAAAAACCTTGCTGTCTCAAATATGATTCATCAATCAACAATTGAGATAGATGAAAAAGGAAGTAGCGCTTCAGCATCAACGATATTAATTATGTCCAGAAGGAGAACGCCCACATTATCCTTTATTGCAGATCAACCATTTTTATTTTTTATTATGGATGATAAATATAATGTTCCTTTATTCGCCGGAAAAATATTTAATCCAACAATGTAACAAAAGAAAAATTACTTTTATTAAATCGATCGATCGATATATCGATCACTAAACATTTAATCATTATTATTATTTTTTTTTTGTACATTATCTCCCATTTGGATTCTTATCATAACACTCAAAATACCTTTTTACCATTTACTATATTTTGTATTAAAAAAACAATTATTAATATTTAACTGAATATCATTTATGTAATTAAACTTTTACTTATTAATAATAAATAAATACATAAATAAATAAATAAATAATTACGTTTAAATAATTATTTCCTAATATTCTCATCATATGAGCGGCGCCGTTAATTTTTTCCTTTCGTCATTTTTATTGTTATTTTATTGTCGTTTTTAATCAAGTAAAAATTAACGTCGTGACGTCATAATAATTACGTAATAACTAATATTTAAAAACAAATCCCGCATTTTTCCATTAATAATAAATATATCGATATGACCTACGTACCTACTTAATTATAATTAAATAATTATTATTAACACTCGATGAGGCGTGAGTGAAAGAACGGGGGGGAGAGGGGGGGAAATCGAATGAAATATTACGCGCACTCACAGTCTTCGTTTGTCGGAGGGGGTGGTGGGGGGAAGGGGGGAGGGGAAATAATATTTACGAAAAATAAAAAGAAGGTTTCGGAGTCGGATCGATAACTTTTCCATTGACGATCGTTAAATCTTCAATCGTATCCCTGAGATAAAATAAAAATGGTTGATTCACTTGAAAAACCTGTACGTTACTTCTCGATGATGCAATCGATGCTGTTGGAAAAATAAAAAAGTAATAAAAAAACCGGAAATAGTTGAAGAAGAAGAATATATATATAACATACCAGTGAGAAAATTAGCTTTAGAATAATTCGCTTCAACTTTAAACGTGACCATTTGTACTAATTCTTCGACGTAGAGTCCAGAATTCGGATGTGATATTTTTGATAAATCTGCCGTTTCCGGATTGAATATGCTCGTAACATTTTGAACTCCCAACTGTTAAAAAATAATATTTGAGTAAAATAAAATCCAAGATGGTTTCGTTATTAATTTAAACTTACTTTTCTGAGTGATGAAATCGGTTTTGATATTGTGTTGATTTCAAAACACGGAAGTGAAACGTCAACCAATTTTTCTTGCAATTGATCGTAGATGCTTTCAAGAGGATATCCGGATAAATCGGAAATTAATTTTGTAAGGCCGTCACGTGATTGTGGTACCAAAATCAAAAGGGAATAACGTCCTCCTTTGTATGGAAGTTCGATTGCTTTACAATCTAAATTTGTTATTTCTCCAGAATAGAAAAGTCCTTGGGAATGAATCGTCGATACGAATATTTTTTCATTTTCGGATTTGTAAAAAACTCTGGAATTGTCGGCGGGTTTTTTTTCAAACGGTACTTCCCATTCACCTTTGTAATATAATCCGTTGAATATAATCATTTGAGGTTTGGTTTCTGTAATTAAATATCAGGTACAAGAATTAGAAAGAGAAAGAGAGAGAAATTTACAAAAAATTATTATTATGTCTCTAACCGTTTCCTTTTATTTTTATTGAACTGTCTGTCATTCCAGAAAAATGTTCCATAGGCATGCCACCCATTTGTGCACTTGTTTTTATTGGTTTCATTTCTTCTATTTCCGGTTCGCTTGTGGTTGTTGTTGTTGGTGTTGCAGGTTTTTTTTCATCTTTTTGTTGTTCTTCGTCTGTTTTTCCCATGTTTTTATTATTACTTTCTGACATTTTTTCTTCTTCTTGTAAATTTGTTTCTGATTTTTTTTCTTCGTCGACATTTTCTTTTTCCGTCGTTTTAGATTCGTCATTTTTATTTTTTACTATATTTTCCGTTTTTTCTTTTGATTCTGTTTCTTCGGATCTTCCTAAAATTTCATCTTTCATTTTTTCCGATTCGACTTTGGTTTTTGCCTTTTCATTTTCGCTTTTTTCCATTTCGACTGATAATTTGTTCATTTTCTCTTTAGTTTCCATCATCATCTCGTCCTTTTCCTCTTTCTTTTCCGTTTCTTTTTCTTTGTTTTCATTCATTCCGACTAATTTTTTCTTTTCCTCTTTCATTTCCATCAATTTGTCCTTTTCTTCTTTCTTTTCCATTTCTTTTTCTTTACTTTCATCCATTTCAACCAATTTTTTCTTTTCCTCTTCCATTCCAACCAATTTTTTCTTTTCCTTTTCCATTTCCATCAATTTATCCTTTTCTTCTTTCTTTTCCGTTTCTTTTTGTTCAATCATTTCTACCAATTTTTCCTTTTCGTCTTTCATCGATTCCATATTTTCCCCCTCGGGTTTTTTTTCGTTTCCATCGACGCCCGTACTCGATTTGATAAGATTTTCGTTGGCTTCTAATTCTCCATTATCTTCCATATTATTATTTTCCGACGTTGAACTTTCCGAATTTTTATTTTCAATGATTTTATCCGTTATCGATGTTTTATCAGCTTCTTTCATAAATTCTTCGGGTCTTTCGACAAATTTAACTTCTGTAAGATAATATTTTCTCAAAATATTTTGCAAATCTTCATTCATAGTGTAATTTTTATAAATGTAAAACCAATTTTTAAATTCTGGAAAATTAGAACTTTTTTTCTCCTGAAAACATAAAAAAAAATTAAATAAATAAATTTTATGCCAAACTCCAGCATGTAAATACTAAATAAAACTTTTTTCCAGCATGCATGGATTTTTTTTTTATTTTGAAAAAAATAAAAACTTACAACAAATCTTTCCAAAATTCTTTGATAACCTTTTCTAACTTTTTCAACATCTTTTGGAAAATGAAGAGCATTTGCTATTTCATCTCTTGATGGACCATTTGCACCCTCGGAAAAAACAGCTAAAATTGCTGAATAACCAAAAGGGGAATAAACCATATTTTCTTCTTTTCCAACATAACCCTACAAAAACATTATGATAATAATAATAATAATACTTTACAACGAAAAAAATAAATTTCCGTTGAAAAATTAATTAAAAAAAATTTTTTTTTTGTTTCTTACCTGTAGTAAAGCTGTTGCGATTTCATTCGTTCCTTTTCCAATAAAATTTTCCCGTCCCGTCTGAATTTTATTTTCATCGAACGGATAACACGATAATGTTGGAATAAATCCTAAAATAAAAAACTTAAATATCCCGTTCATAGTTTTTTTTATTGTTTTCCAGGTTTCGACCTCGCCTACTGATTTTGTACTGGACTAGGTTGGAAAATGGTTTGAATGTTTTTAAACCTCTCCCACTTCTCCGTTAAAAAAAAAAAAAAAAACATTCAACTTGTTTTCTGAGGTCGTTGATTCTTATTGACTTGATCTTCATTATTATTTAAAAAAAAAAAAAATACCTTTGAAATATTGATACGAAAACCGTTATTCATGTTTAAACGTATCCATGATTGATTTCTTTGTTTACTATCCAGAGATTTCCATTACCATTATTATTATTATTTAACTTGAAAAAAATGAAAAGAAAAAACTTGTGACTAATGCATAAAAAAACTTTTGGAAAATTACTTTAACTGATTCAATTTAATTTTAAAAAAAATTTTTTTTCGGTTATTTGTTCTAGAATCATGAACATAATATGTTGTTTTGTTGTTTGTTTACCTGGAAATTGATGTTTGGATGTAGAACAACATGAATTTCAGGTTCAGCACATCCAATTGCTTGTACAACAACAACTTCATGATGTTATGTTCTATGTTACTGTTGCTATGCTGTAGTCTCCTCTTTGCTAGTAGCTGTAGGTTTCTTACATTTTGTGCCATATGTTCTTCTAAAGCTAGAAAAATAAAAACAATGAGAAAATTACAAAATTTCATATGTAAAAAACAAAAGCTTTTCATCAAATTGCAAACAAACATGAATGAAAATTACATAAGATAAAAAAAAAGAAAATTAATCATCCATCTTGCAAATATTTAAATAAAAAAAAAAAACGAAAGGAATCGATAAGGAGTAGGAGGGAGGGGGGGGAAACAAGACAGTGAAAACGTTAAAAATTTAATTAAAAGAAAGTAAAATAAAAAATTTATGATTGTTTATTAATAAAAAAAAAAAAAATTAAATAAATCAATGTCTAAAACGAGAAAGAAATACAAAAAAAGTTTCTTTTAAGCAATTGTTACAAGAAATACTTGATCGCGTGAAAAACGACCAAAAACGACTTGAATTAAATCCAAAAAGAAAAAAGAAAAAAAGAAAAAAAAGTTAACACGAGTACGAGTTAAACTTGTTTTGCTATAAAAAAGTTAATAATTGTAACGGGATCGGGGAATTTGCAATGAGGATAATCCATAGAGTTTAATAACGGTACACAAATGTTATTAAAAATATCGATCGATCGATCGATCGAATATTTTTCAAACTTTAAAATGTAAAAATTATGATTTTTCATCATCATCATCATCATCATCGAATTTGTTTACCTTACAACGATTTTTAAATATTTCACAACGAATAAAATAAGATGCCAAAATCACTCCTGAATTATAATTTCTATATAACGGATAAAAAAAAAAAAAACTTATTATTCGTTATAAATCATATTTAAATTTATTCTTTCGTTTTACAATAATTATCATTATCATTTTATTTATTTATTTATTGTTTAACTTACCGTTTTGATCGAATGAGTGTTGTAAAAAAAAAAAAAAATAATTTTTTTAGATTACTCGAAACGTTTATTGTTATTCTACACATAACGAACGAAATGAATTTATTGCGCCATTTCGGTGTCGTTTTGTCATAGAGTAAATAAATTTGCCCTTTCTTTCGTGCAACAAGATTCAAAATGGAGGGTTACGATTTTGTAAACAATGTTTATCGAATTTAAAAAAGTTTAGTTTTAATGATTTTTATTAACATTTAAACAATTCACGGTTACGTATTTTTTTAAAAAAAAAAAGTTTAAAGGAAAAACGTGATTAGTTTATTTAAAATGGTTTTCAAATAATAATTTGTTAACACATATTAATAATTTTTTTTATGTCTTGTAGGTAGGAAAAACCAAAGGCGAGTTAAACGAATAAAATTTGTATACAATATGTACGTATATAAATATATATAAATTTAGTGAATGAGGTTTACATCAAATAAAAATATCCATTTTGTTGTAAAAACATAAAAGACGTATTATTGTTTAGACCGCTCGAGGTGATAATTTGTAATAATTTTTCCTCTTCTTGTTTTTAGCGGTTGGATTTGAATTAACAGAAATAAAATGGCGGAGTGTTAACTTCAACACGTTCCTTTCTTTGAAGTTTAAAAATGTCCAAATTAATTTATATTTAGATTACAGAATGAATTTTTACATGTAGAAAATTTATTAATAATTAAGAAAGTGATTTCTTTTGAAGATGAAAGAAATTTTACAATAAAACAAGTTTATTTAATTGGCAAAAAAAAATTAAGTTGTATTAAATACAAAAATAATTTAATTTCTCACTTTTTCACTTGTAAATATTATTAAATAATATGTTTTGGCATTTTATTCTTTGAAAATCAATTAACTATTGATAAAAAATATATAAATACAATATAAATAACACTCTAAATATTTTTTTTTTTGAACAGTTTGTAACAATTAAAATAAGTCTTTGGTAATTAAATGTTATTTTATTTGGCATTATATAAAATTAACATTAATTTTTAGAGAGAGAGATCAAGTGAACAACAAAACATGGTGCCGCCAATAATCAGATGATAAATTATCTTTATCAGAATTTGACGGATTATGTTTTACATTTCTTTGTCTTTGAGTAAAAGACTGATGAAGTGAATCGAAGGAATAAGAAGGAAACACGGTAGACTCTTCTGCTAGACTTTGTGTACCAATTTTTGAATCTGATGTCCTTTTAAAATTATCAGGTAAAGGACTAGGAACGTTTACATTTTTAGGTGTGAAAAATCCTCCTTTGATGGATCGAAATTTAGGACCTGGAGTCGAAGAAGTGTGACGCGTTGGTTGAAACAATTTTAAATTCTCCGGAGGTGAATTAACAAAATCTTCACTAAAAGATGATTTATAAGGTTTCGAAGTGGATGTAGAACCTCGAGAGGATGAAGATGTCGTCGATGTGGTTTGTTTAACCGTTGATTTGGATGAAAGTTTTGTTGTAGTACGTGCAGAAGTTACTTTTTTCATAGTCGATGGAGAATGAGTCGTGCTTTGACCTTTGTTTTTGTTTGCAGTTGTCGTCGTAAATAATGGTTTCGAAGATGTTGTTGATGGCGTATCTTGGGTTTTAACAGCCTCCGGCACGGACAACTTACCGGCAAAAATTATCGAGTTAATTGTTGTATCCATCACGTAAAACAAAAACGGACGATCGGCTATAAATGACGTTGTCGGACCGCCCATCAATGGTATGAACAATGCCCCTTAAAAAAAAATAATAATAATAATAATAAATTTTTTTTATAAACCTACAATTATAAACATTTATTTATTATTATCTTACAAATCTTACCAGAGGCTGCTGCAGCTACCGTTCCTTTTTCACTAACTTCAATTTTTGCACTGTGAAATATATGACTGACTAATGTTGTCGTGGAATTAGAATCAAGCAAATTGGAAAAATTTGCCGATTTTGAAAACATATTATACATATCAAGCTTTTTTAATACGTTTGTAAGATCTTGTTTGTACGAGATTTTAAATCTTGGAATTTGTACGAAAACTTCTTGTGACGTCATTTCTGAAAGTATTGACGTCATACTAACATGCATAAGATCTCTACTTAATTGTTGTACGTTACTTCTTACGCTGGGTAATAATATCAGCATAAAATATTTACCACCCTGTACAAAAAAAAAAAAAAAAAATTTTTTTAAATTTAAACTCTTACTTAAATTTGACGAATTTTGTTTCTTGTCACAGGTCTTACCAGGTACGGCAATTGTATAGCTTGAGCATCAATTCTATCGATATAACCTAAATTAAAATATCCAGATTCCGCCATGGCCATGGATTTAACACACTTATCATTAGTTTGATAAAAACATCTGACACTGGTTTTTTCACTGGTAAAAGGATTCATCCAAACACCTTTGAAATAAATTCCGCTTGTCAATATCATTTTTGTATTTGAATCGATTTGATCATCTCCAACGACGGAAGTTATCAAACCGGAAGTTTGTTTCGATATCCAATCGTTTATGTAATTCGATGCTTCTTTAGATTCTTTAAAATTAACTTTTCCTATACCGCTTTTGTAATATTTTTTCAACGCGTTTTTATATTCGTATTTTGCATTTGATTTATTCGATAAAAATATTCTGCTGGCTAATTTCAATTCGTTTGGATCATCCACCATCTTTAAAAGAAAAAAAAAAATTTGTTTAATTGTTAATTTGAGTTATTGAGTAGGGATGGGGCGAAATTATTAATTAAAAACTCGAAAGTAAATTTCATTAATGAATATATGATTAAGTTGTCAATCAATTTAAAATATTTAACGCCGAAAATAAATTTCGTATTAAAAACTTTACACGCGCACGCACACACACACAACGCACCTGTGTCAAGATGAATACATTTAACAAAACGAGTTTTTAAATGAAAGTTTTTAAATAAATAAATAAATAAATTACCTTTAATGCTGACATCCATGTTTCGAATTCTTTTCTAGATTCAATTTTACCATTTGGTAGTCTCAAAGCCATGCGAATTTCTTTTGCCGTGTTACCATCAGCACCTTCCAATAATATACCTAATAATAATTTAATGGATGCTGGAGAAATTACAAAATTATTTGAATGATCGTCTAAACTTAAAACCTGGAAAAAAAATTCTATTTTTTAAAAGTAAGTCCATTTTTTTTTCTTAAATTTTATACATTAAAAAAAAAAAATTTACCCTTAAAAGTTCTGTATCGAAATAACCGTAACGTTCTGTGCTTGGAGTATCGTTTGTAGGCATACAATTAACACAATTAAATAAAACGACGATGACTAAAACAAACAAACAAACAACAAACAATATTAATCAATATCCAATATAAATCTTGCACTTGAGAATAATAAATAAAAACAACGAAAATTTTTTTTTTTTTGTAAATGACCGCAATCGTCGATTTATTTATTTATTTTTAATAAAATTTTTATTAAAGATTTATTTGTTAATAAATTAATAAATAAAGTAATTAAACACTTACCTAAAATAAATTTAATAAAAGTAAACATTTTAATAAAAATAAATAACACACAAAAAAAATTGAAAAATACTAATGAACACTTTTTTTTTTTTTTACAACATGACAAAATAAAAAGTCGCTCTCTCTCTCTTTCTTTCTCTCTCTAACAAAAAATTAAAATCCAACAACGATGACAACAACACAGACAAACAAACAAACGGATGAAATAAAAAAAAAAAAAAAATTATTTTAACAACAACTACAACCACGTTAATCAAAATTCAAATGTAAAATGACTAAAATTTCCCTTTCAAACCGATATAATATTTATTGGAGGAAGAGGAGGAGGAGAGGGGGGGAAAAAAGAAATTTATTTTTTTTTCCCCCGTCATCCTTTGTGTGTTTAATAATAATAATAATAATAAAACGTTAAAAGTTTGATTCCAGCATTCGGACCTGATAAAAAAAAAAAAAAAAAAAAAATCTCTGGGGAAAAACTGGAAACGTTTACCTGTTTTATTATATGTCAATGCGTGCGTAACGAAGTAGAAGAATTATTTTTAAACAAAAACTTTTTTTTTTTTTTTCCTTAATTTGACCCTGATACAATTATTATTATTATTATTATTACTTTGTTCGTTAAAAAAGAAAATGGATCGTAATTATTTAATTGTTACGGTTTTTCCGGCCAATTTTCATTTAATTTAATTATTATTATTATTAAAATAATTATTACGTATATTGTATACCGAATTAGTAAAACGTGAATTTTTTTTTTTCACGTCGTTGACTTTTTATTTATTTTACATTTTATTACTTAAAGTTTACGGTAATATTTTAATTAATAATAATAATAATAATAATAATAATAATAATAATAGAAATAATAATAATAGAAAATGTTAATAATGATGATTTTTTTTTGTACAGGATCGATTAAGTGACGTTTTTCCATTCGTTGACTTTCTGATTATTAAAAAATTGGACAGAGAAACAAACAAAAAGGATCAGACATCACGACAGGTACGAATCATTATTATTATTATTATTATTATTATTATTCTTATCGTTATGATTATCATTATTATTACATTTTATATTTACGTCATTCATAAGAGTTTTTAAAAAAAATTTTTTTAATTATAGTTTTATAGTGTGAACCGAATCGAAAAAAACCTTAAAGAATCAAAAAAAAAATCTTTTTCCGTTTCCTTTAATTAAAACATAATGAAATAATAATAATAATAATAATAATAATAATAATAATAATGATAATAATAATAATAATAATAATAATAATAATAATAATAATAATAATAATAATGATAATGATAATGATAATAACGAATAACTATAACGATATGTAAAACAGGTACAAAACAAAAAAACGTATAATTTTATTATTATTGTGTGTAAGCGGATGTGTTTGGAAAAATAACCTTATTTTATGTTTTGTTTTGATTTTACGTTAATTTGACAATGATGATGATGATGATGATGGTGGTGGTGGAGGTGATGGTGGTGATGATGATGATGATAGTGGTGAAATATTTAAGGGTCGTAAAAAAAAAATTGGTAACTGAATTTTTGACGAGACGTGCAAATGATCCATCCCTTTTATTCAAAAAAAAAAAAAAAAAAATTCATTCATTCATTCATTTTTTTTTGTTTGTTTGGTTGTTCAGGTACTGAATGAAAAGGGGGTAAAAATGTCATTTAAAAAAAAAATTTATTTTTTTTTGGGGTTGATGAATTATTCATTGTTATTATGACGGTGGTGGTGGTGATGACTCATCGTCATTTTTATAAATATGCAAAAAGATACCTTTTGTTTGTTTTTTTTGAGGGGGGAGGGAGAGGTAAAAAAAAACAGGTACGACATAATTTTAAATAGATTATTGCAAAATTATTATTATTCTCAAAAAAAATAATATTGTTTATCTAATTTAAAAAAAAAAAATTGTTGTTGTTGTTATTGCAAGTCATTCTTATTCATAAAAAAAAAAATTATTTCATCGATTTCGTTATAAATATTACGTGTAATAAAATTCCAGCGAGTCCCATTTCTTTTTTTTCTGGAAAAACAAAAAAACAACTCGAAAAAGGTTTAATTACTAAAAAGAAAAAAGGTTGAAAAGGTACAATATGACGAATTTCTTAATTAAATCAATTAATTTAAATTATTTGAAGGATTTAAAAAATTAAAAGTAATTTAACAAATAATAATAATAATAATAATAATAATAATAATAATAAAACAGGTTTTGCAAGAAAAAATTATCTTAATAAAATGATTTTAAATAAAAATGTTACGATAATAATAATAATAATAATAGATTTAAAAGGTTTACGGCCTTAATTTTTTTTTTCCTGAGACAAATGCAATTTAAATTTAATTTGAATAAAAAAAAAATAATAATAATAACGATAATAAAAGAATAATGGTGAAGGTATAAGGTATGATGGTTTGAAGGTTTCATGGAGAAAATAATAATAATAAGGAAAATCCAGTTGGCGAAAATCGATAATTAAAAAAAAAAAAAAAAATTTTTAAGCGATTTTTCCTGTCCGCAAGTAATTAAAAATTCCAGACGACGTTGATAGACGAGAGTCGAGTTTAAAAAAAATTTTTTTTTTTTTTTTTGGATTTTCCCATTTTTTTCCTTCGTTTGTTTGTTTGTTTGTTTGTGTCGTTTTTCGTCGTTTGTTTGTTTTTAATAACATTTCGTGTTTTTTTACGTAAATGAAATTTAAAAAAAAAAAAAAACTTGGAAATTTCGATTTTTTTTTTTTTCGTTATGATTCGAAGAGAAATTTTTAACGACAAACAAACAAACAAACAACCGCAAAAACAAATTGTTTGTTTTCGTTTGTTAATGATTACTAGAATTTTATTTTTCCTTACCGAGAATTCGTACCGGATGAATATTTATTTTTTTTTAATTATTATTAACAAATTTTAACGCCCTTTTTGAATTCTTGATAAAATATTTTTCATCGATGACATCTCGATGATGACCGAATAAGTTTTTCTAGAAAATTCTAAAATTATTATTATTATTATTATTATTATGTATTACGCATATGGAAGTAAATAAGCTTTTAAATCAGATACAATAGTTATAAAATAATGACAGGAGGGGGGGGGGAAAGGTCAATTTTTGTTACTCGTGATGATGCTGACGAGAGAGAGAGAGAGAGAGAGAGGGGGGGGGGAAAGAGAGAAAATCAAGTTCGGTTAATAATTAACTTTCTCTAATTAACCTCAGAAAAATAATAAAATAAATATTTAAATAAATTTTTAATTAATAAATAACAATAATAATAATAATAATAAATATTTTAACCTTTCGTGTATCAACAACAATAACTGGTTCCACAACGTCTGGTTGAAAAACGTTCAATTATTATTATTATTATTATTATTATTATTATTAATAAATTTTCCATATTTGGAATTGTTTTTTTTTTTGTTAATAAATGTTTGTATATTTTTAAAAATTTTTCGTTAATTTTTTTTAAATGATAAAAAAAATATTTTAAACGAGTGCAAAGTTTGACATGTTGCTTTTTTGCTTTCGTCAATGCCTCGAGCGTTTTTGGCATTTAAAAAACGTTACAAATGTTATTTTTTTTTTTATATAAAAAAGGTATTAGAAAGTTTGGGAATTTTCACATACGCAAAACATAATTTATTATTATTATTATTATTATTGCCGAAGGATTAATAAATTTTTTTTTATATTGATTTTATCACGTGGTAAAAAAAAAAAAAAAATCAATAAAACCGTCGATTCCAGACAAAGTAAAAAATAAAAATAAAAATAATCGTTTTAAAATGACAGTTTTTGACAGTTGGCATACCTGAAATTTAATTTAACAAAAAGTTCCGTCGGGAAAAATGAACAAAAATTTATTTAACATCTCATTAATAAATATTTTTATAAATAGTTATTAGATGTTTTAATTCTATGAATGATTGATTGATTGATTGATGTATATATGAATGAATTTTTGAATGAATGAATGAATGATGGATAAAACAAATAAAATACAAGAACGTGAAAATAAATTTAATCGCGTTTTCCCATTGACAAAATATAAATAAATAATAATAATAATAATAATAATAATTGTAAATTGAAAATAGGGAAACGTTTAATTAGTTTTTCTTTTTTTAAAAAAATTTTTAAAATGGTTTGAGTCATTATTAAAAAAAAAAAAAAATTGACTGACTGACTGAATGACTCAAAGTCAGTCAATCAGTCAGTCAGTCATTCATTACCTTGAAAGCTTTTTGAAAGTGAATAAAATTCCTGATTCGGTATCAATAAATGAAATCCAGTAGGAAAAAAATGAATCAAAAAATTTTCCAAGTGAGAGAGATGGAAGAAGAATTTTCTCTATATCTCTCTCTCTCTCTCTTTCTTTCGAATTCATGGCGGAATTGATTGACGTTTATAATTAATTTTAACGTATAAATAAAGACAAATATTTGTTAGCAAAGTGACAAATCCAAAGTTTGTTTGTTTGTTTGTTTGTATTTACTTAAAAAAAAAAAAAAAAACTAAACAGCGATATGATAAAATCGATTCATTTTTTATCATTATTATCATTATTTTTTCCTTTTATGATCTGTATCTGTATGATTGTCTGTAATCTGATTTGATTTTCTTTTGTTTGAGTTCGTGTAATTTAGTCGGAACGTTAGAAATCGATGATGAGATTACGGTAGAATTAACTTTTTTCATTTCATCTTTTTCTTTTTCTTCTTCATTTTTAACCGGGATTTTCGATTCGGAATCATCCGTTTCCGGTCCAACGTATTTTCCAACGAAAACTATCGTGTCAGTCGTGACATCTTCGATATAAAATAAAAATGGATGACTCGCGTTAAATAATTCGTCTTGAATTCCGATTTTATTGACGAGTTGCATTTCTAAAAAAAAAAAAACGACAAACATTAATCAACAAAATTAATTTTATTTAAAAAAACAAGAGAGAGAAAGAGAGAGAGAAAATGTTACCGGAAGCTGCAGCAGCAACGCTTCCTTCTTCTGTAACTTCTATTCCAGCTTTTTGTATAACGCTTGACACAGCCAAATTTTTAACTTGATTATTATGAACCAAACCTTTCATTTCACCAAACGAATCAAATATTTTACTAAAACCCAACTGAAACAAAAAGGAAAACAATAAAAAAAATTTTTTTTTTTTCGTTTACAATTTAAAAATGGCAACATGGCATTTAAAAAAAAAAAACAATTTTCATTTCGTTTCTTATACCTTTTTAAGAACAGGTTTTAAATCAGTTTTGTAATTGAATTTAAATTTAGGAAGTATGACTTCGACAGAAGTTTCATCGAGTCTCATTATTTGTTTTCTTATATCTGTTGGACTGACATTTTTTAAAATTTTTTCCAAACCGTTTTCTTTTTCTGGAAGTACTATGTACATTGAAAATTTGTCTCCCTGATAAAAAAAAAATTTGTTTAACATTTTTCATTTTTCCCTTTTATATTTAAACTAAAAAAATGATTTTTTCTTACTCACTTTGTACGGTAGCCTCAATATTTGTGCATCTATATCCGGTGATCTGATGTAATAAAAGTAATTAGTTTGTTTCATGTATGATATTTTTTTAGGTCCATTCGACGTTTCGAAATTTCCATCAAAAGATTCTTCAGGTTGAAAAACGGATTCCCAAGAACCTTTGAAATAAACGGCGTTAACGAGTAGCATCATTGCTTGATTGAGATTATCTAAAATTAAAAATAATTAAATTATTCGATTATGTAAGTAATGAATACCTTACATTGTAAAAATAAATATTTGATGACACGTTGAATGTTGCAACCACCGTTGACTTATTAGAATTGTTTTAAATAAATTTTAATTAAATACTTCGGGCGATGATTTCACACTTCGAAAAATTCACAAAAACAATAATTATTTTTTACCTTAATAAATAATAATAATAAATTTTCTGCAAACACATTGACAGGTTAAGCCCATCACAAAATGTGATTTTAATAATTAATCGTTTCACAGTAAATTTCTTCATTTTATAACTTAATTAATAATTAATAAACATAAAATTATTATTATTTAAACATTTTATATAAAATTTAAACTAAAATTCAACTTAAAAACATTTTTTTAAATAAAATTTTCAAGTAATAAGTTACTGATAAAATGAAAACAAAACCGTCGCCCGCCATAATCTAACCAGAGTTACCAACTTAAATTAATCCTACGAAAAAATTTGCCGCCACGTAATAAGTAAAAGCGCGCCAAACAAAAGAATGTTATTAAACCGTCGTTATTATCATTTATTTCGATGAGTTAAATTTTTAAAAATAAACTTTTAGGAAAATTCAAGCGTTCATTATTCATTAAAATTATTACGTAAGTAAGAAAAATTAAAAGTTTAAATATAATAATAATAATAATAAAAACGTTTGTTAAGGTTTAACTAGAAATCAAGCAAAAAAAAAAAAAAAGTGTATTAAGGTGTTAATAAGCGTGGGTTAGAATAACGTTTTTCTTTCATTATTGGCTTACGTCATGAGAAAATAACAGTAATTAAATATTTGAATAATAAAAGAGAGAGAATATTAACTAATAATCAAGAGTTTTAAATAAGAATGCCACGATAATTATTATTATTATTATTATGGTTGGTTAATTGATGTACACTAAAATAGATTTTATTGTTATAGATCGATCGAACGATGGCATAACCGTTAATTATTAAATAATAATTATTAATTTATGTAAATTGTTATTATTGTTTTTACCCTGAGTAATCAAATCTTTTATGTGTCCATGAGTAACAGATTCAACCCAATAATTTATTCTATCAATAGACGTTTTGTAATCCGTCATATTTAATTTTTCTATGTAGGCATTGTAATAAAGATAAAGAATTCTCTGGAACCAATTTTTCGGCGTCATAGATTGATCGACAAATATTTTTGTACCGATTTCCATGACGTAATTTTGATTCGTTGCCTGGAATTGAAAAAAATGAAGTTAAGAAAAAAAGATTCATTTGGATAAGTGGAATAAATTGTTCATTAAATTTCACCTGAAGTGATCTTAAAATGGCGCTTGTTTTCATTCTCGCATAATTTTTTTCATCTGGTAAGTGAAGAATTTTTTCTATTTCTTTTGCCGTTTCCCCCGACGAACCTTCGTATAACATGCTAATTAAAAATTTAACACTTATCGGTGATATTATTACATTTCCGGGATCTGATGCTGCTATTGTCTAAAAAAAACAAAACAATAACTCAAAAATGCTATGCCATATTAATAAGCCTAAAATTATAACAAAATATAAATCTCTCTCTCTTTCTTTCTCTCTCCTTAACATAGTTACACCGAATGATAGTCAGTAACCTTGCAATGTCGATGTGATAAACATGAAGCCATTGACTTTGGTATTAAAAAAAAAAAAACCGACAAATAATAAATTCCTGTCAGAGAGATTTCATTTTTGCAATTTTTTTTTTTAATTGACAGGAGAGATATTTATTAATGACAGATGATCTTCTCCCTTTATGAGAGAGAGAGAGAGAGGGGGGAGGGAGGGAGAGAGAAAGAAACATGATTAATAACCTTCTACACGCCACAACAACAACAATAATTTTTTTTTCGTCTCTAAAACAACAACAACAACAACTCGTTAAAATTAACAATATACGAAATGAATAATAATAATAATAATAACGAACCGTGCATAATTGCCAGTCGAAATAATCAAATTTTCCAACGTTGAAAGGAGGAGGATATTCATTTATTTCATCTGTTGATTCTTGGTCTTGATCTGTGGTTTCTCCTGACACGAATATCAAATTTAAAAACAAAACAAAAAAAATTAAACCAATTTTCTTCATTTTCTTTCCTTCTTATTCACACATTCACTAAATCTGAAATAGAAAAGAAAAGAAAAATTTTCGATCATTATAATTTTCAAAACCAAAAACCAAAAAAATCAATGATGCGTATCACAAAAAAAGAAAAAGAAAAAGTTTTTTTAATTTGTTTTCTATTTACACGTTTCGTGTTTTTTTTTTCTTTGTAATCGTGGGATTAGGTTTTTTTACGACTTCACTCGGAATTCATTTTACGGTTTATTTTACAACAATAATAATAAATTTTTTTTTTTTTTTTTTTTTTAACGACAAAGAAATTGAGGCCGATTAACGTTTTTAACACGGGTATATAATCATCATTATTATTATCATTATCGCTACCTGTCGTACCTTAAAATTTTTTATTTCTATTTAAAAAGAAAAAAAGAAAATTTTCGCCACGTTTTTGTTTTCGTAATAAAATAAAAAAAATGTCAACTTTCGCTATTATGTGCAAAACGAGGATTGCCTCCTGCCCCGCCGGAAGTTGTCGTGCCTTAATTTAAACAAACAACAAACAGTTTGTTAAAAATGACCGTTAAATAATTACTTTAATACCTTATCAAAAAAAAATTTCAAAACGTTCGCGAACGCGCGAAAATTCCTTTAAAAAAAAAAAAAAACCCGACGAAAACGCGAAGTTTAATAAAAAGTTAATCGATCGAAAATCGACGTGGAACGAGAAAAAAAATTTATTATTATTATTATTATTATTATTATTTAATTTCACGTTCCGGTAAAAAAATTTTAAAATTAAAAATAAAATAAATAAAATAAAATAATAAAAAAAAAAAACGCGCGTACTTACGTTTATATATAAAAATTATGTCGGACGTATGTCGAATCCTCACGATATCTGCTTCGTTTTTGTTGTTTTTGTTGTTGTTGTTGTTGTTGTCGTGGTTGTCGCGGTTGTCGAATGTTTTAGTTGAATGTTCTCACTGAAATTTAACATTTATAACTCATCATCTTAGTTTTTGCACTGAGCGTACATACCGCGCACACACGCACACGCACACACACACACACTCAGACCTGATTATCTCGCTTCCAGTTTTGATTGTTTTTTAAAACGTGACCTTCATTACTTCCAACTCTCGGTTTGTGTGAAATTTTTTTTTTTTTTTTTTTTTTTTTTTCAGGCGCGGTTGTTTTGAGGTTTGTTTTGGTTTCTCTTTTTTTTTTCTTCTTCAAATAAATGTAAATTTTGCGCATGCGTGTACGTATTTTCGTAACGACGTAATCAATCAATCCATCCATTCATATTTTCATTCTTTAAAAATTATTTTATTTTTCCAAAAAAATGGTGAAAAAATTTAAACGTTGACGTTATTATGACATTATCACCGTTATCACTATTATCACTATTATCACTATTTATTAATAATTCGGTTGTGAAAAAAAACGGAAATGGAGATTACTTATGTTGTGACGTCACCATTCTTCTTTTTTTTGAATTCAACAAAATTTTTATTTGGAATCTCGCGCACACGAGCGTACATCATCATTATCATCATTATCATCATCATCATCATTATTATTATTATTTATAAAGTGCCCTTGATAACCATCTTCCCTCCCCTCCCCCCATTATAACCTCGTAAATAAAAAAAATTTTTTTTTTTTTTGAGTAAATTACATGAAAATAATTAATGGCCGACGGATACGCATCGTGGTAATAATAATAATAATACTTATTATTATTATTATTATTATTATAACACGTTACACGAATGTAACGTTCGATGGTTTTTTTTTCTCGTGCCACGTTGTTGCGTAGGATGAAATGAAAAGAAAGAAACAAAAAAAAAAAAAAAAAAACGTTTGCGAAGATTTAAAAAAAAATAAATAAGTAATGATGATGATGATGACGATGTTGTTGATGATGATGATGATGATGATGATTATGTATAATTACGATGATGATACTAATGATGATGAAATATTATGCGTGAAAACTTTCTTTTTTTTTTTTCTTTTCTTTCGGTAATTAAAAAGTAGTTTTTGATTTATTTTTGTAATTTCGCGCGTGAGTGCGTGAGTGCGTGTCATTAACCCGAACTCGCTTTTCAATTTCACCATTACGTCAAATTTAAAAAACAGAAGAAATCGAATGACATTTTAGTAACGTTTTGACAATTTTAAAAAAAATTTCCCTGCATTTCGACAATTTCCCCCCCCCCCCCCGTCTTTCCAACTTCTTCCACACTTGATTTTTCCCTGTCCTATTTATTTTCTTTTTTTTTTTTATTGTAAATTTTGTTTGCCGGCGGCCATTTTTCAAATTTGACGCTTTTAATAATAATTAAAATTCGTTAGAAATATTGAGTAATTTTTTTAAATAAAAAAAAACCGCGTGAAATTTTATTTTATGTTTCCCTCGAGGTAAAAATCTAATAATAATAATAATAATAATAATAATAATAAAAATACCTGAATAAATTTAATAAAAAAAAAAAACCGAAAACTCGACGATTCTTAAAATTTACGGTCACGGTATGTTAACGCCAATCATATACGTAAACATCCTTTAAACTTTACGTCATTTAAAATTCGTTGAAATTCGTTTTTCCGATTTTAACAAAAAAAAAAAAAAACTTATCAATAAATCAATAAATCAATAAATCGATAATAAATTAATCATTATTACTAATTTTTTTTTGTTAACGTTAAATAAAATTAAAATTTTTTTTTATTTTTTTTTTTTACAACATAAAAATTTTTTTACAGTTAAAACTAACGAATTAAAAATTTATAATCAAATAAAAAAATTCGATATTTTTATATATATATTTTAATACTGCTTACGTCACCATCGAATAAAATCATAATAATAATAATATAGTTCTTTAAAAAAAAAAAAATGGCGGGAAAAATTTTTTGTTTTTTTTTTTTTTTTTTTTTTACTCGCGCTTTTAAAATTATCAATTAACAAATATTAACGCATCGAAGATTTTTCTTAGGTAAATTTGATGTGAAATGATAAGATTCAGTCCTTTCGTTTCCGTTTCCGGCATTTTCTCCAATCATTTCACCGTTTCCGTCGTCGACGTTGCCGACGTTGCCATCGTCATCCGATTCATCGACGGCACCGCCTTCTTTTAATTTATTTTTAACGGTTTTTCCTCCCATTAATTCATCCAACGAAAGTTTTTCTCTTTCTATTATCGATCTCACTAAATTTTCCAGAGTGAATAAATGATCGTCTATCGCTTCCGGTATGTTTTCCCGTATGAATTCGGCCAATTTCAAAAGGTATTCGACGTTGTGACCGGAATTACCGGACGAATTGACTATTTGATTTGCTATTTCCGGTAGTGGAGAATCACCCAACCAATATTGATTCGACGACGTTGCCAAATATAAAATAACCGGAAACGGTTTGACGACGGATGTTTTATCATCATCTTGTCTCGGGTAAAATGTCGATATCGTCGTGAGGTACCCACCGAGTTTGCACTCCCTGTTGTCCAAATACGAAAAAGCTTCTTTTTCTTTAACTTGGAAAGCTTGACCCCACACGGTACCCTGAAAATGCAAACGAAAAAACTTTTCTCAAACTCTCATCTTCCCCGCCCCCTTCCTCCCTTCCCCGACATTAAATAATACTCACCGTATCATCCTCTATCAGTGTTGCCACTCTGCCAAGCTGAAAATGATAAATAAATGCATGAATGTTTGTGAATATAAATTCTCTCTTTCTCTCTCTTTCTCCCCCCCCCCTCTCTCTCTCTCTCTCTCTCCGACATTGTTCGACAAATATGTAAAAATCTGTCGACTAATGATTAAAGCAATTAACATTTGAATAATACCGATCATTAATCACCTTTTGCCGATTCGCATGCAAAACTTTTCAATTTTTCATTTGGGGGGCGGACGCGGGGGGCGGTTGGGACGGGACGGGGCGGGGCGCGGGGGGGGGGGAAATCAGAAGAACGAAAAAAAAAATCAGGACCGTAAATTGGATAAATTTTTACAACAAATCTTGTGAGCAGACGACGTTATTAGATTCCTTACGGCCTATCAATTCTTTTTTTGAATCAAATTCTTCGACAAAAGTTCACGAACCGTCGACACTTTGTAAATTCGACACTTTTTCCTTTATCTTAATGTTTTGCTTATGATTTTGCTGACTTGTTCTTTCGCATTGATAACAACCACACAAACGACAATTGTCGAATAAATTAGGCACGTATCCATTCGCGTGACGTGGTAATAACGTTAAGAGTGGGGGCGCGGGATCTTGGGGGTTTCGAGCAAAGAGTAAAAATTTTCCAGATACCTTTTTATGCGTTCCTCTATGCGTTGCATTTCCCTGCCAAAATTTCCTGGAAAATCCTTTTATGAATCCGGTCATTGATTTTTCGTACGTAAATCCCTGATTCCAGCAGAGAGATCCATAACCGAATATCCACATTCCCGTACCGTCGGGTTGTTCATCCTCTTCTAACCAGTCAAAATTTTGTATCGTTAATTCAATCATTTCACTCGTTGGTACTCCCGTGACGTCATCAACTTTTATTTGTTTTTCGTTACGTGGTGACGAAGACGATGGAAGAAAGGATTTCATATAATCATCATCATCATCGTAATTTATCATATTTGAATTGTTCGACGCGGCCATTTTCTTTATTATAATAATAATAATATTCTATTTAACTAAAAAATTAAAAAAAAATTCAAAAATTTTCCCGCCAAAAAATTAGAAAAAAAAAAAAAAACCAAGAAAACTCACCGGGTGAAAAAAAAAAAAAAAAAAACAATTTTACGTAAAACCTTTTTCTTTTTTTAAAAAAATGTCGTGTTTTATTACATTTATTATTATTATTATTAATATTTCCATGCGAAAATAATAATAATAATATTAAATGAACGACAAACGAGCGGAATCGACAAACAAAAACAACCGGAAATAAGGAAAACTTCGTCGATGTCAACTTTTAAACTCTTTCTAAACGTTTTCTCACTTTTCATTACGCATTTATAGAAATAATGTTTTTTAAAGCGCGACACACATTTATTATTATTATTATTATTATTACTGCGATGATGATGATGATAATGGGGATGGTGATAATAATGATAATAATGATGATGATGATGATGAACTCGAAAACTAGATAATTAAAAATCCTTGACATTCAAATAAATAAATTTTGCATGCAAAGTGTTTGTGGATGTTTGCCAATGCAACAAAAACAAAAATTATGTTACGTAATTTGTCATTATTTTTATTATTATTATTATTATTATTATTATTATTATCATCATCATCATCATCATCATCGTAATCATGGCGACATTTTTTTCCTTCGTCAAAAAATTTTTTTTTTTAACAACAACAAACGAATTTTAAATAAATTATTATTTAAATAGGGTCACTCGGACAACGACAACAACAATAATAATAATAATAATAATAAGTCATTACCGTGGGATTTATTGTAAACCGGAAACGGAAGAAAAAGTTTTCATTGACAGGTCACTTCCGATATTCGAACGAAAATTTTTTTTTTTTTAAATAAATTTCGTTTTGGGGGGAGGAAACGTTAATGGGATATTAATAATAATAATGTGAACGGTTCGAATAATTTCGCTGGACAAAAAAAAATTTCTTTTCTCGCGCCATTTTGAATTCTGACAACAACAATAGTAACAATGGCAAAAAGTATTAGTGATAATAATGATAATAATATAAGTTTTATAGTTCGCTTACCTATTTAAATTTTTCTACGTGATGATAAAATAAAACATTTAAATATTTTTTATCATTCCAAATTATTATTATTATTATTATTATCTAGTGTTTGTTATACGGCGTTGTTTGTATTTCGTGCGATTTTCATCATCTGGTCAACTGTAACAAACAAACAAACAAACAAAATAAAATAAATTTGTTTTTGTTTTAATAAGTAACAAAAAAAAAAAAAAAAAATTGTTCATTGTTTGTTTGTTCGACAACAAACAATTCCAATAAAAGGGGAAATGAAAATAAATACGGAAATGACGTCGAACACACAACAAAAACAAAAACAAAAATACGCGAACGATAAAAAATTTTTTTTTTTTCGATAAAATCAAATTTCGATTTCGATTTTTTAACCATTTCCGGTTGGGATTAACGGAAAATTGAAAAAAATAAAAAAAAACGCACACGCGCGAAATTCTCGAATGTAAAGCAGAAGAAAAGTTTTGTTTTCGGAAGCATTTAAATGTAAATAATGGTTTTTAGCAGACGACAATTTTCTTTCTTTTTTTTTTACGGATTTACCGGAAATATTAAAAAAAAAAACAAAATGGCGTAATCGGCATAGAAATAATTTTTCAATCAATAATTTATTTAAATTTGACTAAATATTTTTTAATTAAATCCTGGAATTTTTTTTTTTTTTTCATTTTTGTAATTTTCCAGTAATTATTATCATCATTATTATCATCATCATCATCATTATTCGCGACGATTTTTATGAAAAAAAAAAAAAAATAATAATTATTATTGACTTAAATTATTATTTATTGATAATGAATGTGAGTCGATTGTTTTATTATTTAAATATAACTGCGTAATTATGCCGTTTGAATGTATCAGGTATGAAAACATTTAGGATCGTCGTAGTAGTTTTTAAACCGGAAATGACGTCACTATACGTAAAACAAAATTTTTCCCGAATTTTATATTATTTAAACGAATTGAAATTTAATTTTTTCTGTATTACTTTTACTCTCTCTCTCTCTCTCTCTCTCTCTCTTTCATTCTCTGTTTCTCTCTCCCTCTCTCTCTTTCATTCTCTGTTTCTCTCTTTCTCTCTCTCTCTCTCTCTTTCATTCTCTGTTTCTCTCTTTCTCTCTCTCTCTCTCTCTTTTCCTTTGTTTGTTCAAAATTTCTTTTGCGTTATCAAAACTCAGTAAATTTGAACAAACAGGAAGAAAATTTTTTTCATTTTCTTTCTGCCTTTACCTTTTCATACGCACACGCACGCATTTTTTCACCGCCTCGTTTATAACCCCCCTTATTTGTATATATAGTTACGCAAATTAAATAATAATAATAATAATAATAATAATGATGATGATTTTAAAACGGTCGAAAGGTGAAAACAAAGACAAAAACAATAACAAGAAAACGTCACTCGTAAATAAATCATATTTATCTCTCGTGTTTTTGTATGTAAAAAAAAAAAAAAAAACAATAAAATATTTTCATAACATTTTTTTTGAATTTTAATAATTTTAATGACGTCACTTATTAGTGACGACTACCTGTCAGGTTTCAATTCGAACTTTGATGTATTAAATGAAAAAAAAAAAAAAAAAAAAAATGAAATTGCCGGGAGTGAAACGAGTCGAATAAACAATATTCAAAGTTAAACAACCTTAAAATTTACCCTATCAATCACATTATCATCATCATCAGTATTATTACTATTATTATCATTATTAATTATAACGTAATCAATGTAAAAACTGCAGAAGATGCATCGACAGTGATAACTGATAAAGGAAAAATCAGGCACTCGATTGAGGGAAAAAAAAGAATCGGGGGAAAAGGGGGAAAACGGGAATAAAAGACGTTAGAGACGCGTACCAATTCGAACCTGATTTACCTGTGATAATAATAATAATAATAATCAAAAGGAAAAAAAAATTTTTTATATGAAATTTTAAGTCTTGTGCTGCAGCAGCCCGTTTAGTCCCCCAGGTTTTTTTTTATCCACGATTACGGTTCTCGTAATAAGTGAGTGAATGAATGAATGAATGAATGACTGAATGAGAATGACTTGCTGTCGTAAAAAAAAAAAATTAATGAATTGAATAAAAATTCATTTCGTGACACTTTCTTGACACGTTTAATATTTTTTTTTTTACAACAACAACAAAATAAAAAGTTTTTTTAGTTTTTCGTGTACGAATTAATTAATAATTTTTAAAGCAGAAGAAAAAAAGAAACGATTAAAATTGCGATTGTATTAACCACAAAAAAAAAAAAATAGAAAGAAAACTGACCTTTTTATTTTATCCCATCATTGTCTTGTTTTAACTTGACGTAAATTTTTAAGAGAGAAAGAGAGAGAGAGAAAGAGAGAAAAAGAAAGAAACCATAGAGTAAAAAAATAAATAATTATTTTTATTGTTTGTAACGTCTATGGTCGAACGTTCGTTAAGTCAGTTTTTTTTTTTTTTTTTATTTAAATAATTTTTTCTCCTTCCGATTAAACCTTCTTAACAAATTAACTTTAAATATTATTATTATTATTAATATTTCGCGGGGGGGGGGGGTAAAAAAAAATAATAATAATAATACGACCATTTTAAATTAACCGTAGGTAAACTTTTTATTTACAATCCGCGCCATCTATTAAATATTATTATAACTATTATTTGAATTAGTTCGCGCAATCGACGCTAGGGATTTTTTCCCCTCCCTTTTCCCTTAAAATTAATGTAGGAGATTAACGTACGAGGAAATATTTTTTTAAAAAATAAATAATTAATAAATTATTAACGCCCGAAAATTATTAAAACATTCAAGCAGACGAACAAACGACGGCGAAGAAACAAATAAAAAAAAATAAATTACAACAATTTAATTTGTATTATGGGGGAATCCCCTCGCACTTAAAATCCGTTAATGTCAGTGCAAAATTTTTCCTTGTTAATTCGTCTAAATAATTTGTATTCTATTCCTATCATAAATAATAATAATAATAAAATATATACTGAAGCGTAAACATACGAGAAACGAAATAAAAATAAATAAATAAATTAAAGTACGTCACCTAAAAGAAAAAATTTTCCTATTCCCATGAATCCTGCCACGCATAAGATCGCCCGAACGTAAAACGATAATAATAATACTAACAACAATAACGATTATTATTATTATTACTACTATCACTCGTTATGTTATTTTCACTGACCCTCTCGAAACAACTTAAAATAATAAATTAAACCCATGCGTGTGTGCGTCTGAGAACGCGCCATATCTCAAATTCAAATAGCCTTCACTTGTTTAATAATTGTTATTGTTTCACATTTAAAATCATATAAACTTTAATACGATCTCGTACGAATTTGATCACGTTTTTGTTTTGTTTTGTTTTTCTAAATAAAAATAATTTAAATGAAAACATTCGAATATGATGCAATGTTATATTTACAGTTTCGTGATGATCATTCTGTCGGTAAAAGCAAAAATTTTTGTTTTTTTTTTTTTTGATTGGTTTTCGTTTCGATGATTCTAAAACGCGATTGGTTCTCCTGAAGAACTACGTCATCAATGTTTTTATACGTGAACTGTTTCATTCGTGTATGCGTTATCGTTATTCGTTTTAAATTTCATGTTATGTAGCCACGGTTGTACAACTGGCCCATTAGCTCAGTTGGTTAGAGCGTCGTGCTAATAACGCGAAGGTCGTGGGTTCGATCCCCCCATGGGCCAAAGTATATTTTTTTTCTTTTTTTTTTTTTTGAATTTTTAATTTCCGCGCACTAATTTCAACCGAAAATATTATCATTATTATTATCATTTAAATAAAAATAAACAAAAGTCGAAAACGTTGTCGTTTTCCG